GTGCGGCCTCCATGCCCCCCGTGTTACCTGTGCAGGTGCGCGCCTGGCATCCCTCCTCGATGCTGCCGCCGTGAGAGGCTCCTTATGAGGACGCTGGCGCCTTTAATCCAGCGCAGCTTTGCACACCTGCCTCCACCTGTGGGGCTCCTGCCTGCTGGGAGTTTGGGGGGGGGGGATGTGCAAAAGATAGGAGGCCCCTAGGAGTCAGGCACGTGGCAGAGGGCACTGGTCAGGAGCCCTGAGACGAGCAGCTGGTGCAGTTACTTGCCTGTAACTCTGGCCACAGTGTTCACGCTGCTGGGTTGACAAGCTTGTAAATAAATATCCGGTTAAAAATGACGGAGAGGATGTGGCCCCCAGGTGGAGCGCGATTCCTCGCTTCCTGGTCTGTCTGCAGGGAGGCCCTTCCCCTTCCGCCCTCACGCCCCTTCCTTGCCACTTTCCTATCCTCGTTTTTATCCCTGGGTTGTTAGCCTGATGCCTTTGCTTTGCTCAGCAAATCTCTATAATTTGTCACCTATGTGGGCTGGGTGGTGGGCTGGGTACAGAGGGCTGGAGGTGCACAGTACGTTGGTATGAATCAGAGTGCCAGAGACCCTGGGATTGGAGACGGAGACCCCCGTCAGGCCCTGCAGTGAGCCCCGGGCCTCGCACTCCATCCAGCCCCTGGCTGGCAGCTCCTGGTCTGGTCCTGGGGTTCATGGGCCCCAGACTTTTGGATTTCAACTAGTACAAAAAAAATTGGCATCTCGGCTGGGCGTGGTGGCTCACGCCTGTAATCTTAGCACTCTGCGAGGCCGAGACGGGTGGATCGTTTGAGCTTGGGAGTTCAAGACCAGCTGGAGCAAGAGTGAGACCTCATCTCTGCTAAAAAAAAAAAAAAAAAAAAATAGAAAGAAATTAGCTGGACAACTAAAAACATATAGAAAAAATTAGCAGGGCATGGTGGCGCATGCCTGTAGTCCCAGCTACTTGGGAGGCTGAGGCAGAAGGATTGCTTGAGCCCAGGAGTTTGAGGTTGCTGTGAGCTAGGCTGACGCCACAGTACTCTAGCCCGGGCAATGGGGTGAGACTCTGTCTCAAAAAAAAAACACAAACAATTGGCATCTCGTCTACTGTGTCATATTGAGTAGGTCCTTGGGGAAACAACTGTCCCCACCATCACCGACCTTCCCTGAAAGACAGGGCATTTTAATGCTAAAAAGGAACAGGGGCTGCCGTGATACGGGACCCGAATGGGTGGCTTCGACCACAGGTGTTTATTCTCTCTCAGTTCTGGAGGCTGGAAGTCCCAAATCAAGCTGTCACCAGGGCCATATTCTCTAAGCCTCTGGGGGAGGGTCCTTCCTCGCTTCTCCCTGGTCTTGGTGGCCCCAGGCGTAACTAGGTTTGTGACAGCATCACTCCAGTCTCTGCGTCTGTCTGCACGTGGCCACCTCTCCCTGGACCAGGGGCCCACCCTACCCTCGTGTGACCTCCCCTTAACTGGTTTCGCCTGCAAGGACCCTATCTCCAAACATGGTCACATTCTGAAGTACTGAATTTGGGCTTTAGTGCATCTTTTTTGGAAGGGACACAGCTGAGCCCACAGCAGGGCCGTGCCCTCCCCTCGGAGGACTGTGCTCTGTGCGTGGTTCATTCAGCCTTGTGAACCCCCCCTCCCCCCGGCCGTTGCTTTGTTCATTTTCTACAGGCTCGTGAGCATTCCCACGGAAGGAGTGGAGGATTTGGCTCTGTGATTTCACACTGTGCTCCCAGTTTACTCACTGGGGCCCCACGTCACCTCAGTCTGCCCCTCGGGACGGCCTGCAAGGCCTCACAGAGATTGACAGCCTGCCCCTTGGCTCCTGGGCTTCAGCCCCACACTGTTTAGATTACCCCACCTCTTCCTTTTCAGGGTCAGGGAGGGATTTCTTGGCCCCTGTAAGCCTTCGTGGTCTCCCTGGCGTGTGTTTTTCATCCCATTTTCCTCCCCTGGGCTCTGGGCCCAGGCCAGGCAGTGCTGCTCCTGGTGAAGTCCCTGCCCAACCTGGCTCCCAGGGACACTGCCATCTGCCGTCCACCCAGAGGGGCCGGCAGCCACAGCTGCCACGCCCCTCCCAAGGGCTGTAACTTAGCCCATGGTGACTCCGTTTCCACTGGACACCTATGACACAGGGGTGTGGCCTGGCTCCCAGAGCAGGGCCTTTCAGGCTGCTGCTGGCGGGCGGTGGGAGCCCAGGCTGGGCCATGCGGAAGAGCCCTGGAGGGTCTGGCCACTCTACGGGAGGGGAGGTCACACATCAGAGTCCCACTGTGGGCCTGCCAGCTGCCGGGCTCTGCTCCCCAGTAGGTAGGGGATGCAGGGGACGCCTCAGGAATGGGGTGGCGGGTGGCCCTGGCAGGCGGCTGTGCCCTTGTAGAGGGAGATGGAAGCCCAGCAGGGCGAGGGCAGGAGAGGCGTGTGCAGGAGCCGGCCCAGGCAAGGCGGGACCGTGGAGCCAGGTGACAGGAGCGGGGACAGCAGTGGAGGCTGCGCTTCCAGGAAAGCCGGTGGCCCAGGCACGCCCACGCACGGGCTGGGCGTGGTCCTGATGCTGGTCAGTGTCATCGCCACAGGAGGAGCAGAGATGACCTGAGGGAAGCGAATGTCCCCAAAACAATGGGAAACTCATTGCCCCCCTCCTACATAGCAAGAGAGCCACTTTGTCTCTGGAGTTACACAATGTTTTTGTTTATGGCACTTCACCACGATAGAGGTGCTTAGGTTGGTCTGAGTTTTTTTTTTTTTTTTTTTTTGAGATAGAGTCTCACTCTGTTGCCCAGGCTAGAGTCCTATGGCGTCAGCCTAGCTCACAGCAACCTCAAACTTCTGCGCTCAAGCGATCGTTTTACCTCAGCCCTCTAAGCAGCTGGGATTACAGGCATGCAACACCACGCCCAGCTAATTTTTTTATTTTTAATAGAGACTGGGTCTCGCTCTTGCTCAGGCTGGTCTCAAACTCCTGACCTCAAGGCATCCTCCCACCACCTCCTCCCAGAGTGCTAGGATTACAGGCATGAGCCACCGCGCCAGCCTTGCATCTTTTATTTATTAAGAGGAATAAATCTTCCTCCTTCAGGGCAGGCTGTGTGTGTGCATATGTTGTGCGTGTGTTCACTTGTGTGTGCATGTATGTTTTGTGTGTGCTGTGTGTGTACTGTGTGCATTTGTGTGTTGTGCATGCATTGTGTGTGTGTCGGCATTGTGCATTTGTGTGGTATATCATGTACATTGCATTTGTCATGTGTATTGTGTGTGGTGTGTGCGTGTACAGTGTGTGCATTTGTGAGTTGTATGCACACGCGTGTGTGTCATGTGCATGTATGGATGCATCTTAGTCTCCTAGGGAGGAAACTTGAATCTTTCAGCTCTGGTGAGTCATACCTGGTGGGCTTACCCTGCAGCTGTGACTCACCAGGCAGGAAAAAGCAAGACCAAAAACTCCCCTCAGTCTATTAAAAAAAAAAAAAAAGATCCAAGATAAATATTTGACTATTGAAGATAAGGCCACTGACTAATAATCCAGGGAGGTCAGGATGACTGAGTATGACCCCCAAGAACTGCAGACTTGGAAAGAGTTGGTTTGCAAACACTGCCTGCAGAAGTAGAAGTGCAGCAAAAGCCTGTCAGCTAAGAGCGTATATACGCAGGCATGAGTTTTCTGGCTTCATCCTTCTCTTTTCGTGGTGGCCGTTGGTTTCTGCTCCCACCTGCTATGAAAGCTCGGCTCAGGGTCTCCCTCCCCTGCCCCATTGGGGGTTTGGGCCCCAGCCTGGCCTCACCGCTGCATCACTTGGGGCTCCCTGTTTTCTTTTCAGCTCTGTGGCTCTTCCTGGCTCCCTCCCACTTCTCGTCTCTTCCTTCCTGGATTCCTTCTTCCCACCCCTAAGCCCCACCTGCCCCCAGAAGGTGGCTGTGCCGTGCTCATGGGGCGTGAGTTCCTGCGGGAAGAGGAGACAGCTCTATGCTCTCGGTGCCCACTCGTGCTGGCGTCCTGCCCTCATCGCCCCTCACAGCACGTCCCCTCTCTGGGCACCACGTGACACTAACTCCTTTTAGAGAAAGGGAAACAGGCTGCAGATGGTTAAGTAACGCACCCAGGGCCACCCTGCTGGGCAGAGTGGCTGTCGGATGTGGCCGGGGCTTATCCAAGAGCCCACCTTCTTTCCACCCGCCATCCTGCACACCAGGACCCCTAATGCCCTCTGTTAAAATGACGTCTGTGAGCGAGACATGTGTTCCACTAGTGTTCCACTGTGTCCTTTCCCCTGGCGTGGAGATGAGTCACTGGCGTTTGACAGCGGGTTATGCCCATTGCCCTGGGAACAGAGAAGGTGGTCCCGCTGGTAGCGTGGGACACAGAGTCAGGATGGGAAGGAGCGACTCCACTTCGGAGCGCCCCTTCTCCTCCCAGTTGGGGGCTGGTCCGGAGCACTGCCAGCCTGCCGGGGTTTGCAGAAGCTGCTTCTGGGCAAGTCTCAGCGCAAGGGGGCCCTGGTCTGGTGCTGCAAGCGGCGTTATCGGCACGTGGTAGTCAGAGTGAGGATGACAGTCCTTAGCCTTAATCAGCCCCTGGGCATTGTTAAGAGTTGTCTTTATATAAAAATGCTGGCTGCATTGGTTTCTTTCGCAGGAATCTGGGCGGGTGCAGACTGCACGTGATGGTCAGTTGTATGCACTTAATTTCATGGTGGCCAGCTATGCCTGTGGTCATTTAAACAACCTGCTTATTGCATTCTGCTTCATTAGCAGAACAGTGGAGGGTAACGAATTTGCTGGTACCCAATAGCTGGAAACAGCAGACAGCAAGTTCTCAATCCAGCACGTTTTTCTTTAGGAGGTTAGAGGATAGAATTCCAGCTCAGCAGTATGGATACCAGGCTCACGAATTCCTGCGGTCCCCCTGGCTCACGTAATTCCTGTGGTTCTAATTTTCAAGTCCTCCACTGCGGAATTACTAATGCATGTGTGATCTGAGCGTGATCTGGCCTGCGTGGAAAGCTACCCGGTAAGGGAGCAGGCTGCTGAGCAGTGGAAAGGCCCCGCCGCGGCCCCGGCCGCCCCGCCAGGCCAGGGTAGAGTTGCGCAGATAAAGCCGAGATCTGATAGCTGCCTCGCCCTGCTGGGCTCGGGACGGCACTCGTTGTCCTTTTAGAACTCCCTTGTGCTCCAGCGCGGGCTGCAGGCTCTCTGGAATGACTGTGCGTGTGGGTGGGGGAGGAGGTACGTTTTTTAAAGTGTGTCATTTTTCTCTCTGTAGGTGCTGTCACACTGGCAGCCTGTGGAAACGGTGTGGTGCGTGTTGACTGAGTGGCCTGTGTGCGAACACGGTGGGGTGGGGCAGGGCCAAGTTCAAGTTGAGTCTTGACCTGTGCTGTCAAGTTCAAGACTGACTAGTGTCGCCAGCTGGGTCTTTTGGCTGCAGCTTGCTCGTTGTATTCCATCGAGCCTGCTTCCAGTAGCTCTCTGCTGCTTAGCAGCTGACAAGGTGCAAGCAGAGGACTGAGAAAGGTCGCGCTCCAATCCCAGAGCACGCTGGCTCTGTTCCTGAAACGGGGGTTCGGGGCGTTGCTGGGCTCTGCAGGGAGGCGGGTGAGCTTGTGACCTGGGAGTGTGACCTCCCGCACGCCCGGGCAGGCAGCAGGCCTGGAGGGGCCCAGGCCCCCTGCAGACCCCTCCTCAGAAGCTGCTGAGCTGCCAGCGTGCCCGTCCGCCACCCTCCCGCCGCCCGCCCGCGGTCAGGGAGCAGCGCCAGCCGCGGTGGAGGGGCCGAGGGCACCGAAGTCCACTGTCTGCCCTTCGTTCCGCCCGGTGTCGGGTCGCAGGTGGCGGATCCCGTTACCAGCCCAGGACATTCGGTGTCATTGAGGAATATCTTTCCGCTTCTGTTCCCTTGTGCTGCAGACGATTTACATGGATGATGGAGTGTCGTCTTTTGTCCAGATCAGAGGCTCCGTTCCACTGTTTTGGGAGCAGCCAGGGCTTCAGGTAGGTACTTAAAAAAAGGAAGATGTCCCCTTGTGTTCCTGTTCACCCCTCCCTTCTCGCCAACAGCTGTGGCTTGTTTCTTTTGACATGTTCCTTCCGTGGTGTGGTTGCTGGTCTTTTACTTCAGCCTGTTTGGACTGAGCTGAGCCGAGTGCATGTGTGTGTGCGCGCGTGTACGGAAAACACGCACCCCAGTCTGTGGCTTGGTGCTCAGCAGGCCTGTGGCGTGCTCACCACGCACGCGGGTGCGGCGTCTGCTGAGTGAGCGACCCACACCGTGTGCCTGGGGAGAGTGGCCTCAAGTTGGACCCTAAGTTCAGGGTCCTGGGGACGTACAGCCTCCGGGCCCTCCGTGGCTGTGGAGAGGGTCTGGCACGGCTCTGCGTGCCGTGGAGCCGTGTGAGGATGGCACGGCTTTCCTGTGCTGTCTAAAAATACCCCTCGCCGGCTGCAGAAGGCTCCGGCCAGCGCCAGGGGGATTTGGCGTTCCGTCTCCCGGGCAGAGCGTGGGGCGGGAAGGCGTCCCCAGAGCACATCTGCCCCAGTGAAATGACGCGCCACCCCCCGGTGGGTTCTCTAGCGAGGTGGGCCGTGGGCCGGGTGGAGGGACATCCCACCACGCTGATCCTGCATCCTCGTCCCTGTCCCGAGGGCGCGTGGGTGCGTCCACAACGCCTCCAGGCCGGGGCCTCTGTCGTCTTTGGCTCTTCTTACGGGGCCCCTTGTGTGGCCGTAAGTGGGCTGTCAGCCAGGGCCTGCAGGGGCCCAGGGCTCCCTCTGCCAGGTTCCTCGGGGTGTTCGGCATGGCTGGGCCCCGAGTGCCCAGGCCTAGGTCCAGCTTCTTAGCACAGCCCTCGACCTGCCCCAGGGCCAGCAGTGGGTGAGTTGCCGCCGTGGCCGCGGGCCAGCCGCGCTGACGGCGTGGGTGGCACAGCGGGTCAGCTCGTGGAGTGAGACGGATGAGTGGGCTTCGGTCACAGTCTTCCCTCTAGAAAGGGACAGCCAAGATGCACGAGATGGCTGGTGGCACCCTGGGGACATGGAGCTTCCTCTGGAGCTCAAGCGAGGTGTTTTTGAAAAGCAGCTTTATTGAGACATAACTCACAGACCGCAAGCTTCACCCATCGAAAGCATACAGCTCAGTGGCTTTTAGTGCATCTGCAGTCGTGTGCCCGTCTCCGTAATCTATTTCCGAGCATTTTCATCCCTGCAGAAAAGCCCGTGCCCATTAGCAGCCACTCCGTTCCCTCGGACTCCCCCTCGGGCCGAAGTGGGGAGAGTCTGCTCTCTGTCTCCGCAGATTTCGTGTTACGGACGTTCCTAAAGGGGTTTTGAGACTTGACTTTCTTTAAATTCACAAGTTTCCTTTGGAAACAAGACTTGAGCTCTGTATTTAGGAGGGTGAAGAAATTGGTCAAATGAGTTTAGTACACAGAGGAAGCAGGGAGATCTTGTTATGTTTCACGTAAAGTTTGTATGAAATCCAAAATGTGGGGGGGGGCGTGGTCGTGATAGATTCTAGAACTTGGGAGCGACCCTTTGACAGTCATCCACTGCACTCACTCCCTCGGTTCCGGGGTCCCTCTTCCAGCAGCGGCGACTGGGGACGGCTCTGACTATGGGTGAGTTTCTCCTTGGACTGTGCCTCGGGGCCGTCTGGCCCTGGGGAGCGTCCCGGGGCCGTGGGAGTGGGTCTGTCCCTCTCCCCTGTGACTTGCCCTCAGACCTCAGAGTGGGCGTCTCCTGGTCCCCTCCCCCTCTGCCCTCCCTAAGGCCCCTGATGCCTTCGGCCACCTTCCGCCCTATTTCTGGGACTCTCGGTGTTCTCGTCCCCTTGTGTCATTCCGTCTTTCATCCAATTTTGGTGTCTAGCTTGACCCCTGCGATGCTCCGGACACAAGCTGACCTGCCGTGGAGCGACCGGGCCTCGGCCTGACTCGGACGGGGCAGGGGGCCTCGGGTGGCGCAGCGTTTGGGCAGCCGTAGTGTCGCCCTCTGCAGTTCCAGACGCTTGTGCCTCACCAGGGCCCCCACGGTGTCTCCAGAACAAGCTTCGAAAGGCTTTGGTGTTCATTGATCTTATTAAGGATTTGCTAACCTTTGGGCCTGATACCCGTGTTTATCTGTCATCAAAGAGAGATTAAGCCATCTTCAGAGGGGACCAGGAGGGCAGCTGTAAGCGGCGTTGGTCTCGGGTCACCCGCCGGAGCTGTCAGCATCGAGCCTGAGGGTCAGTTCTAATTGTTTTTCTCCATCTTGACCTTTTCCCTTCCGTCTTCACCTAGGTTAGAGGGAAAAGACAAGAATTTAGGGGTGGGTAGCTTACGCGTTAGGTTGCAGAGTTAGTTGTGCCTTCTTAGGGGCTGCCCAGGGAACCACGAGCCTTTCAGGGGTTGGGGGCAGGCAGGGAGGACCTGGGGGGGAGGATTTGTCTGCGTGTTTTCACAGGAGTGGCACCCTCGGTACATCTGCCTCCATTTCTGGCAACCGTATCCCTTTAACAATTTCATTTTTGCCACATAAATCGGTTGTGTAGTTTGCAAATAGCAACATTGAAATCTTACCCTTAAAATGATGTGGTACAGCTAGTTACAGAGCCTGTGTATGATCCTGCGTCGTTGAAAACTGCTTCCCTTGTCACCGTAGAACCTTCCTGCCTTAACTTGAGTGCACGTGCAGACATAGTCTGCGTTTTGCAGTTTCATGTCACAGAACCAACTGGAGGAGGAGGGTGCCCAGCGGGCCAGGCCCTCTTGCCTGCTGCACCCCTGCCTGTCGAGAACTGCTTACTGGAGCTCTCGGACGCCTGGCACTGGGTGCACATTTGTGTCTTTCACCTTTCTTTGTTCCGGAAAGGATGTGAGACAGCTCGTAGCATAGCGGTTTCAGAAATAGGGAAGAGGTTGGAGTGAAGGCAACGGATGCTGCTAGTGGAGAGCAGGAGATGAAGCCGGGGCCAGAGTTGGCCTCCGCGACACGCACCGTGGGTCTGGCGTGCCTGCCCCGCGGATCCTCACTTTTGTCCTGAGCTTCCCGGCAGCCACTACAGACGGAAGCGCGTGGCGAGGAGGGCTGTCCTGGTGATGCGGGGAATAAACTGTGAAGCTGCACAGACCTGGGTTCAAATTCAAAGTCTGGCTCCCCAGCCTGGCAAGCGTGCACTTTTGAGAAGTTCTTATCTCCTATAAGATGGGGTCAACAGCACCTCCCGCGCAGGGTGATAGGATTAAAGATCATAACAGGAGAATTTAGCACGCTGTCTGGAACCTAAAAAGGACTCAGAAGCGGTAGCTGTCATGGATAGTAACACAGACAGAGGGGGACGCCTGGGAGACAGGCACCCGCCGCGGCGGTAAAGCATGGCTCTCTGCGTCCTGAGCATGGAGTAGGGGTCCCCCTAAGCCATCCCGGGAACGCTGCGAGATGTGGTGGTGACACAGGGACGAGTTCCTAGGGTGTTCCGTCCACGCTCTCTCACAGATGGACAGCCCCAGATCAAGCCCTGTACTCATCCTGCAGGCACTCACCGGGCATCGCTGGGCACGTGGGGGCAGCGGGGGCCTTCTCGGAGCAGGGTGGGAACGGAGCTGTGGCCAGAGTGAGGCTGAGTTCCCCCAGAGGGCGGCCCTCCCGGGCTGAGGGGTCCAGAAGGCATCCTCCGGGTTCCTGTCCCGCCTGACTGGGGAGGGGCGGGAGGAGGCACTCGGGCAAGGCAGTCAGCCTGGCCTTGCAGAGGGACCAGCCGGTGCAGATGCCGTGAGCCTGGGACCACGGCATGCCCAGAGAGCAGCACGGGGCACAGCACGGGGGGTGGTGGGAGAGGAGGGCAGCGGCCAGGTGGAGACGGCGGTGGACGTTACACTGAGGAGCTCACGTTGCGCCCCGGGAGCCACACTGTAGCGGTGGTGCCAAACCTGGCTGTGTGTTAGAGCCACCTGCGGAGCTTTAAACAGTCCCGACAGGCAGCTTGCTGCCGCGCCCATTAAGTCACAGCGTCCGGGCATGGGAGCCATGGCAGTCCTTTCTGAAGGCCCCTGGATGACCCCGGTGTGCGGGAAAGCGTGGTGCTGGCGAGCCAGTTTTCCTGGGCTCGGACTGGCTGCCGGGCGCTCGCGCTTGCAGCATTTGTGTGTCGCTGTGGTGTGAACGCCCCTCACGGCACGTTCGCCGCTCGGCGTCACTGACCCTGGAGTTGGGAAGAGCCACGTGCGGGTTGGCTTGTGCTCCAGCTCCGGCACACGCCGGACGCTGCACTGAAGGGTTCGGGGTGCGGTGACGTGGTTAGACACAGGCCTGACAGTCCGGTTCGGGGGGGAAGGCTGCAGGGACGGACACCGGGTGGCGGCTGCCGCGGATGAGATTTGCTGGCAGCCTGCGTAGGGGAGGAGCGGGGGCGGGGGCGGCTCCGGGCACCTTTGTGGCCACAGGCCCCGTCAAGTGCCAGCAGAGACTCTGCTGTGACTCACGGCCAGGGTTCTCCAGGCCTCGCTGTTCCGATGGCCGGCTCCCATAAACTCAGTCTCTGGTCGATAGGATGGAACTAGTGGCTTCAGGGGCCAGAGAGGAGGCGGACGAGGTGAAGGAGAAGGAGGAGAAGCTAAAAAAAGCAGGGCAGTCAGCTGCTATGGGCCGGCACCGGCGGCGGGTTCTGCCCCAACCGCAGCTCCTTCCTGGGGCTTCTGACGCCGAGAGTCGGGACTGAGGGACTCCAGAGGAGCGGGCGTGGTCAGTGGTGGGCAGGGTGCAGGTGGAGGGAGGACGTGAGGCGTAAGGAATCCAGACTAAAGGGGTGCACACGGTGGGGGGGGGAGGGCGGCCTCCTGAGAGAACGTGGGGCCCCGGCCCCCCACATCTGCCATGGCCCCGTCCACTTTAGGAGATGGAGGGACCCGGCCCGAGGCCAGAGGAAGCAGCTGTCTGGGCTGGGCCTGGCTGGGGATCCCCTGCGGCCCTGCAGGTGTGGACATGGCCCCGGGAGCTGTGTTTCCCTGCCGCACCTTCTACCCCTTCCCGGGCATCTGCCACCTGAGCAGAAAGGGAACGCGGGGAGGCAAGAATGAGTCACAACCAGCGCTGCTCACACGTTAGCGTGTGTGCGTCGGAGAGTTTGGGTCAGCTGATCTGGGGCACGCTCCGGACTTTGCATGTCCAACAGGCACCCAGAGGGTGTCCAGGGGCCACAGTTTGAGAACAACTGGTCTAGACATACAGATCATTTCTGGCCATTTCCTGCCCTGGTCATTCACCTGGGGGTGGTGCCCTTGACTTCTTGGTGTTCCCAGGTGGAAAGGTTTGTTGTCAGCAGGGATGTGGGACTGGCGTGGTGGGGGCATGAGCGTGCCTATGACATTCAGGCCTGGCCTGTCACATGGAATGAATACCAAGTCTGGGATGAGAGACGGGCCAGAGGCTCAGCTGTCGTGCTCAGCTCTGGTCTGGGCTGTACCTTCTCCTGCTGTTAGCTGCTGCTCCTGGGCCCCCCCTGCACCTCACATTCCCCGAATCCACACTGATGTGGTTGGGGGGACCACGCAATAGGGAGATGCCTCCCCTCACCCTGTCACGCTGCTTGGGTTGAGTACTTAAGGGCACAGTGTCCGTCAAATCAATCTGTGCGTGTTATGTGCACTTGTTAGAAACTGAAGAGCGTGGAGGTCCTTTCAGGGTGATCCTGGTTGGGTGGGAAAGACCCCAGGTGTGGGACTCAGCGTCCCCATCTCCTTCCTGCCTGCTCATGGCACCCTGCGACTCCGGTGTGCTCAGTCACTCGGTGCTGGACCGATGCTGCAGTTTGTAATGGGACCGAGGTCATGTTTACAACGGGGGGTGGGGGGTAGTTACAGTGGCTGGAGAGCCGGTCACCTGGGACTGCAGTTTCCACCTGTTTAAGAGACTTTGGGTCATGACTCGGCAAGAGACACTTAGACATGTCCAGGAATGAACTTGTCACGACTGCACACCAGGCCCCCGAGCCCGGAACTGTTGCTTTTGTGCTCGCTCCCTCCTGTGCTCCCACAGGTTTGGCTCCAAAATCGGCTGCCTCAGCCTCGGTGACCTCTCAGTTGGCAGCTTGAGGGGACACAGGCCGGGTGCCCAGAGGCAGGACGGCACTAGCTCACCTCGGGGTGCGAGAGGGAGCAGTCTGCTCAGCAGCGCAGCCGCCGAGAAAGCTTTAGGAGCAAGTATCTGCCATCTCCTCAGCCAGGTCTCCACGGCCACCAGGAAAAGGCAGGAGGGGGCAGGCTGGGCACATGCAGCAGAGTGAAGGTGCTGGGCTGGGCTGAGCCTCTCCCGGGAGTCCCGTCAGCTAGCAGCCGAGATGCCTCGTTTGCTGACTCATTTCCCTTGCGACCCACGTGTCTTAGGGCCAAAGGGGGTTTGGGTCTTTGTTGAATCACTTATATAGAAAATTTCTAAATCCGATGCTGAGAAACCAGTTCTGTAGATGACGCTTCCCTCGAGTGTGGACTGGGATAGGTGCGTCCCCTGCGCTGCTGAGAGCTGTGTAATAACCCGTGACACGTACTCAGTAATAGCCGCATCCAACCACACAGGTGACGCCAATGACACCACTTCTGTAACGCCCAAACACAAGCAAGACCAAACAGTACATTTATAAAAACCTTTTTCCTGAAATAATTTTGGAGCTCCGGGAAAGTCGTGAGAGCAGAAGGGGGAGCTCCCGTGTGCCCTTCACCCACGTCCACGGCACTGTAACCTCTGTCGCACACGCACATGTTGTTGTTTGTCTTCTGAGCCACTGGAGGGTAGGTGGCGTGCACCGTGCGGAATACACTGTCTCCCGTCAGCAGGGTGCAGGCGCACGCTCGGGAGTGTCGCCCCGACACAGCGCTTCGGTCTGCCGCCGTATTCCAGACCCATCGGTTGTCTCTACAGTGACCTTTGTGGCAGCCCCGTCACCCAGCGCCACATCTGCATTTAGTTGTCACGTCTCTAGTCTTCTTTAGCCTCGGTCTGTTCCTCAGCCTGTCTGTCCTTTGGGGCATTGGCATTTTTGGAGGATGCAGGCCTTGTTTTTCTTTAAATTGCAAGTCCCCCCCTTTGGGGGTTTCCTGGTGACTCTCTGTGATCAGATTCAGCGTGCGGACCCCCGTGCAGAGTGGTACCCAGGTGACACCCTGTCCCTCGAGGGACACCCCTTCTGGAGGCACAGGGCGTCCCTCTGTCTCTCATTAGTGATGTTAATTTCCGTCACCCGGTCAAGGTGCTGTTCACGTTATCCACTTACACTTAACGTGTTTTCCGTTTCAGCTAATGAGCAATCTATGGGAGACACTTCCAGCCCATGCTAGTATCTCACTTCTCATAAAACTTTCTCTTAAGATTTGTCATCAATGGATGACTTTTGCTGAGCTATTCTTTACTATGACAGTTGTAAAATGATGATTTTCTATTTTTTCTTCCATATTTATCAGTTGGTATTCTAATATAAGGAAGAGCCCTCCCTTCTTCCCACTCATCCACCCACCTACCTGCCTACTCATCCACCCATCTATCCATCCACCTACCCACCCACCCATCCATCCATAATGCCCATCCATACACCCAAACCACCATTCTGTTCATCCACTCATCCATTCTGTCATCCATTCTGATCCATCCATCCAACCACCCAGTCATCCATTCTGTCCATCTACTCATCCATCCATCCACCCAGTTATCCATTCTGTTCATCCACTCATCCATCCATCTACCCAGTCATCCATTCTGTCCATCCACTCAACCATCCACTCGTCCATCCATCCACCCATCCTTTCTGTCCATCCACTCATCCATACATCCATCCACCCATCCTTTCTGTCCATCCACTCATCCATCCATCCACCCAGTCATCCATTCTGTCCATCCACTCATCCATCCATCTATCTAGTCATCCATTCTGTCCACCCACTCAACTATCCACTTATCCATCCATCCAGTCATCCATTCTGTCCATCCACTCATCCACTCATCCATCCATCCATCCAGTCATCCATTCTGTCCTTCCACTCATCCATCCACTCATCCATCCATCCACCCAGTCATCCATTCTGTCCATCCACTCATCCATCCACTCATCCATCCATCCACCCAGTCATCCATCTTGCCCTCCTCAATCCATACCACTCATCCAATCCATCCACCAGTTCCATGTCCATCTCTGTCCTCACTAATCCATCACAGTACCATTGTCTCCCTATCATCATCCATCACCCAGTCATCCATTCTGTCCATCCACTCATCCATCTTCCACCTACAGTATAGATTTGTGGATTCCTATTTTATTCATCCGGTTATAATCCATTCTTGTTCTTATTATAGTTTGATGCTCAAATCGTCCCCAATTTGGCCAGCGAAAGCCCCCACAAGATGGCTTTGGTGACTAAATTGAGTATTAAATAAAAAGCTCTAAATTATAAGGCAAACTAGACGTCAGGATATCTCAGATTTGGGGGGAAATTGAGGTCCCTGAAGGACTAGAGGAGGCTGGGAAGCAGTTCCTGTCTCTCTGGTTGGCTTGACTGACCGCTGCTGTGGGAGAATGTGGGGGTCTGACATCTGCCTCGCGGTCCTACCCTGGAAGTTCTGTCTGTGGAAGAATTCCGGCTGACGTGGTCCTGCCGCAGTCAGGACTGAGCAGAGCACTGTTAGCAGAGTCCAGGGAGCCCAGCCTTCCTGAGCTTGGAAGGGGCCACGGAGGTGGCCGAGTGGCTGCCACAGTGGCCTGGCTGGCAGCGAGAAGGAGAACGGGAAAGCCATCGCTTCCTCCGTCTGCACACCAGGGAGTCTCACTGCTGTCACCTCTCTCTGCTTTAGGTCGGCTCCCACCATCTGAGACTGCACAGAGGCCTGGAAGCCAGCGCCCCTGCCTTTGACAGGTAAGGATTGTCTGGCACTGCCCGGGCCCTTCGTCATTGTCCTTGGGAGTCTTCCTCCCATCAGACAGTGGTGCAGGGGACAGGGTGGGGCAGGAAGGGGAAGGCCCCAAGCCCTGAACCTCAGTCTGCCTTTTACTTTGGTCCCTCATGCAAGAAGCGAGTTTACAAAATGGAATTTTCACTTGTTCTGGGTTTCCTGAAAGTTAATTAATCAATGTTCAGGTAGCACTTTGCAATTGTTTTATCTTATCAGTTTCTTCTTGCAATGAAACTCCATCTATGTGCCTTGGTTAATAAGGGATAACCTAAATTATAGGATATTTATAGCTGTTTGTTTTTGTTTTGTAAAGGTAATATATTCCCAGGTTTTAAAAAGCATAGAAAGGTATAGAGTGAAAAATAAAAGGACCCTAACTCCAATTCCTAATCTTAGAGATTTTACTATTATTAGTTTTTTACATGTTATTCTAGAAAAAATGTTGGTACATACATATATATTTATTTTTTAAAACACAAATTGGATCATAACACACTGTTTCGCAGCTTGCTTAAGCCATTGCTAAGCTGAACTATTTATAATATGTACTTGAAATAGTTTCTTAAAATATTTGCTTTTTTAATCTGAATGGTAATTCTTAAAATTATCTTAGTGAATATAATAAAAATTCTCAAAAGCAATTTTTTTGCCAGGCACGGTGGCAGATGCCTATAGTCCCAACTACTAAGGGCATTGCTTAGGGCCAGGACTTGGAGACCAGCCTGGGCAACATTGTAAGACCCTATCTCTAAAAAAAAAAAAAAAAAAAGTAATTTTGAATATGTTTTTTAACATTCCACTGAAGATTTATTTGGACTGTAAATTTGCTTGCATAATCTTCTGTTGAACATAACACTGGTAACGTGAGCCCAGCTGTGACCTCCTAATTAGCATGTTACAAATAATGGGTTTTACTATAAAGAGACGTATAATCTAGTGATAAAAACGCTATTGCCTTTTTCCATAACATTATTAGTGTGTCCTAAGCATTGTACCTAAATAGTTCTAAATGTTTTAGGGAATAGTACATGTATAACTGAAAATGAAATTCTACCTTGAAGCCGACCCAAAAGAAAAGGTTATTCTTGTTTCAGAAACCCGCATGTATTTGTGAACTTTTTAAAGCAAAATACACTTATGTAGTGTAAGCACATTTACAAGACTGAAGACTTTTTAGCATCTTGGGAATGCAAGGCGGGATGCACCTACCGAGAGAAGGAGAGCTTTGTCTTCCCACAAGCACCCCGAGGCTGCCCTGAGCTTGGACAGTGTCGCCAGACCTGGGGGTGAACTGAGATCTCTCCTGCAGGGTCTGGAGCAACCTGCTGGAACACAAGTGCTTTCAGGGGCAGCTCCTGCTTGCAGCTTTGGCTCACGGGAAGTCTCCTCTTTATGCTGTTTGACCACAGCACGAGACTAGCATCGTGTGCCCACACGTCCCTTGCAGGAGCTGCCCGTTTCCATACTAAGTGCTGACTGTGCTAGCTCTGAGAGTAGTGTGCAGAAATGAGGTGGCACATCTGTCTAGGGACGGGCGCTGTGACGGCCCGAGCACAGCCAGGCGTCGTGGACTGGCGCCCGCGCTCTGCTTCCAAACCCTCCTGCCTGGCCTTTGCTGCACTTCTGTCGTTTTTTCATCTGTGCACTCCGTGTCTGAGGGCCGTTCGGAGCGGGCCTTTGGCCGCAGCTGCTCGAGCAGGGTCTCGCCATCCCTGCGTGGGGACGCGTTACCGCTCACGCCGCTGCCCGGGTCTCCTTGGTGGCACGGCGAAGCTGTCCTCCGTCCCCCTCGCGCTCGCCAGAGCTGCGGTGCCTGCAGCCTCCGTGTGCGTCGGGGTGCGTCTGGCTTTCATCCCTCCCCGGAGGCCAGAAGGGGCTTCCCGGTGGAAGTCGGCCTCCTCAGTGTCCCGAAAACCTCTGCGGTTTTCCAGGTGGCTTCCCATAACAGGAACAGGTGGGCGGAGGGATGAACAAAAGGCCTAAACGCACGGCGCCACCCAGGCCACGGCAAGTCTGTGCGGTGCTGACGGCTCTGTGGCTGCCAGGACCTCTCTTGTGCCTGGACGGCGAAAGGAGTCTTTCAGTTTATCAGTAACAAGTCTGGGCCGAGCGCGGTGGCTCACGCCTGTAATCCTAGCACTCTGGGAGGCTGAGGAGGGCGGATTGCTCGAGCTCAGGAGTTCGAAACCAGCCTGAGCAAGAGCGAGACCCCAATCTCTACTATAAGTAGAAATAAATTAATTGGCCAACTAATATATATAGAAAAAACTAGCTGGGCATGGTGGCGCATGCCTGTAGTCCTCGCTACTTGGGAGGCTGAGGCAGAAGGATTGCTTGAGCCCCAGGAGTTTGAGGTTGCTGTGAGCTAGGCTGACGCCATGGCACTCACTCTAGCCTGGGCAACAAAGGGGAACTCTGTCTCAAAAAAAGAGGAAAAAAAAAAGTCTGTTACCGTAGTTTTATGTTAAAGAGAAGGAAAGAAATATCAGCTCCCATGCACTGAGCACTGTCATTGTCACTTTCGCTCGCCTCCTTCAGTCCTCAGGGCCATTCCCTGCAGAAGGGGGAGCAGACTCGCCATACAGATGAAGGAAGCAGCTCAGAGAGGATGCTAATTGGAGCAGGGGAGTTCGGGGTTGGTGACAGGATGGAGTAATAATGAGTAATACAGAGCAATAATGAGTAAATATAGAGTAATAATGAGTAGTATGGAGTAATACTGAGTAAATATTACTCAATATAGAGTAATAATGAGTAATATAGAGTAATACTGAGTAAATATTGGTTCCCTTCCAGTCCTGGGATTTGGAACCAGTTGAGAAGCAGGTGCAGGGACCAGACGTGATCAGACATGGGCCTGGTTTCTGATAAGCCGTTTTGTGGCTTTGTGTGTAATGAAATGCAGCCCTTAGATGGAAAACTGGATGCCAGGGTGGAGAGCGCTCCCACCAGTGTTTCTAGTTTTGGGAAGGGCAGCTGCCAGGCGAGATAAGAGGTTAATTACCCAGACATGCACGTTGCATTTATCAGACCCTATTCATGAGAGGTCAGGTCAGCTGTTCGGTGGGGTCGGTGGCGGGACTTTACAGAAGGTGTGCCACGTCCTCTCGGACGCCAGACTCGAGCAGAGTCTACGCTAGCCAGCGAGATGGCGGCTGGGAGGGACTGTTCCCTCCAGCCCCAGGCTCCCTTTCTACACTTTGGGTCATGGGAGGTGGCAGGCCCTGGGCCTCCGGCGCTGAGAAAACACAGCCCCTTCTGGCCCCTCTTCCCTCGAGGGCAGGACGGGGCAGCCGTCTGTGCCCTGCCCGCGTCAGGCTGCCCCACTGCCGTTGCAGGCACATGGTGCTTCTGAAGGAGCAGTACGGACAGCAGGTGGTTGTGAACCTGCTGGGAAGCAGAGGTGGAGAGGAGGTGCTCAACAGAGCCTTCAAGGTAAGGCCCGCGTGGCCCCGCACACCTGGGCGGGTGCAGGTGGCAAGGGTAGGCGGCTCCCGTGGGGACTGAAGACCTCGGCCAGCCCCACGCAGTGACTCGGGCCCCTGGTGCAGTGGGCTTCATTTCTGTGCGCTGGTGGTTGGGAGAATCACTCCAGGTCAGAGCAGCTACGTCCCCAGCTGCCCCTGGGCTCCCCGTGGGCTCTGCGGGCTAATGGTCTCTCTGGGAGTCCCTCCCAGTCCACGGGGCGGGTGGCCCCTTTCCCTCTGGCAGCTCAGCCCTGCCCCAGGGTAGCCCTGCGGGCCACTGGGCCTCAGGGCTTGAGTCAGAGCCGAGCTCACGTGGCTCCTGCTGGCTCTGACGAGGGCAGCCGCTGGGCTCCCTGGGCTGGTGGGGCGGTGGGGAGAGCCCGGCCAGGAGTGGGCGGAGCAGGTGACGCCGCCGTCCGCTCTCCCTGCGCCTGCCTGCGGCTGTGGCACAAGACGTTCCAGAACGAGCTGTGGTGGCTCCTTGTTCTTTTCCCGGCCTCCCACGTCTCCCGTCTGAAGGAGACAATGTCTGGTGGTTTGAAGCTCGAGGAAGCCCCTTATGGACAAGGCTTGAAGTCACCTCAGCAGGAGTGAGGGCTGACCTCTGTGGCCGACCCCTGGCCCCTGACCCCTGGCTGGCTGAAGCTGGCCCAGCTGGGCTCGTTTCCCTCTGCTGAGAATAACTGCATGCTTGGAGCGGGGACTTTCTGGCCGCCAGTTGTATTTGGCCAGACCTGCTTTTCCTGTTTGGTTTGTTGCTATTAGCGACAAGCTGCAGAAGCATCTCCCTTCCCACCCGTCTTGGCAGGGATGCTGGCTGCTTATTTTGAGGAAGAAGAAAAAAAATCAAGCCAAAAAAAAAAAAGGAAGAACCCCCAAAGCTCTTTCCCCTCTATGCTTTGAGTTTGGGGGACACGATGGCCTGAGCTGACAGGCCCTCCTGTCAGCTGGTGGAGGTGCCCTGGCACTGTGACTAGAGGCGTGGTAGATGGCGGCCACCTCGGGGAGCAGGTGGGGCGGGCAGGTAGGAAGGGACAGCGGCCTAGCTGGACACCTGCCCTGCCCGGTGACCCTCAGCCTTGTCAGCGCTGCCTGCCCAGGCTGGTGGCTGTGAGTCCTGCCGGACGGGCACCTGCTCCGCCGTGCACAGCCCTGGGCCACTGGGTGCGCCGTTTGGCTCTGCCAGCTTCCTCGTCACAGCAGGACTTTCTTGGCAATGGCAACTGTGCCTTGCTTTACACTCTGGCTTGTGGGGGATGGGCACTGTGAGCTGTGCCAGGCCGGCTGACCCACAGTCGTCCTAGTCCTTCCGTGTCGTTAGAACCTCTGGCTGGGCAGATGTTGGAAAGACCTGGGCCGAAGCACGTGGCCAGTGTATCCTTTACCCCAGGGCTGTGGTGGGGAAGCCGAGAAGCTGCTGGGCCGGGGAAGCCTTGTGCAGAAGGCTCGAGAGCTTGGTGACGCCATCGGCAGCCCGTGCCGTGTGCACCTGTCAGCACCCCCTTCACTCCAGCTCTCGGGCCACTGTCGCCCCCGCCCTGGAGCTGCACTGGGCTTCGTGTCCCACCCAGGGCATTCAGCCTGGGGACGTGGCCGCTCAGGTTCCCCCCCATGCACACACACGGAGCTTGTGCTTGTCAGGATGGGCTGGCTGGTTACCAGGGCGACAGTGAGCTGGATTATGAGCTCCGCAGCCTGCAGTGCCACTGTCCCTGAGGGCCTGGGGCACCCGGGCTACCAGGACAACAGAGCCACCTCCCCTCACCAGTGCCCTCCAGAGACCCTGCAGGAGTGTGATGTCCCCAGGAAGCCGCCGCTGCTCTGGCTCCTTTTGCCCAAGGGGGCCCCACTGCCCTTGTGCAGGCAAGCTGCTCCCGTGGGTTTTGTCCCCCAGGTCTTCGTCCTGGGCTTCCCTCTCAGGGTCAGGACAGGACCACAGCCCGGCGCCCTGCAAGCTTTCCAGCTAAACCTCGCGTTCTAGCTAGCAGCCGTGGTTAGCCGCAGGGCGGACACCGTCCTCCTCCCTTCCGTTCCCCTCACGCCCTCCCCTCCCCCCTTTCAGAAGCTGCTCTGGGCTTCTTGCCACGTCAGCGACACGCCTATGATAAACTTTGACTTCCATCAGTTTGCCAAAGGCGGGAAGCTCGAGAAATTGGAGAGCCTGCTGAGGCCCCAGTTACAGCTGCACTGGGAGGAACTGGGCGTGTTCGCGAAGGGCCAGAATGTAAGTCCACGGTGAGTGTCGCTGCGTGTCCGTCACCGAGGGCCTCCTTCCCCCGATACGCAGCTGCCCTCTGCACGGCGTCCCGGGTCACAGGCTTGGTGATGCTGGGCACCTGGGGTCCCAGCTTCTCCTCTCCCTGGCCCCACAGACATGCTTTCGAATCTCGAGAGCGGATGGGAACACGTGGCTTCCTAGCGAAAGAGACTTACTAACAAAGGGAGTACGTTGCAGTGTGTAGCGCCACACCGTGACGCAGACGTGTGAGGGGGAGGGGACGCTGTCACTGCTCATGGCCAGACATCTGGATAGACCCACATTGCCTGAGGAAACTGGGGTGTGGACTGCCTGGTCCAAGCCCAGGTGGAAAGGGAAGTCCAGTGCCCTCAAGTCGTGTGCAGCAGGTGCTCCTGTTTGCAGATTCCGTATTTTTTAATTCACCTCCTCAAACTTATTTATAACCCCAAAATCAATACAGCACTTTCAAGGACATTCACAGACAGGTGCAGAGCAATGAAAAAAAAATTTATATTTTGAGACACAGTCTTGCTCCGTCTCCTACGCTGGAGTACAGTGGTGTCAGCCTAGCTCACAGCAACCTCCAACTCCTGGGCTCAAGCAATCCTCCTGCCGCAGGCTCCCCAGTAGCTGGGAGTGAGGGTGCACACCACAACGCCTGGCTAATTTTTCTGTTTTTTGGGCTCACTCTTGATCAGGCTGGTCTCGCACTCCTGGCCTCAAGTGATCCTCCCGCCTGGGCCTCCCGGAGTGCTGGGGTTACAGGCGTGAGCCACCACGTGCAGCCTGAGAATAGTGAGAAATTTGAGTTGCCACATGTGCACATTCCCAGCTGAGGTCAAACAAGGCGATGCTCTGCCTTCCTGTTTCAGCTCTCATACTGTAAACAAATGTCCTTTTTGTGATTTAGTGTCACATTGTCCACAATTTTGTAGGGTGTGTTGGTGATTTCACAGTTTAAAGTGGCCACCAAGCATCATGCTAAGGCACCGCCCAGCACTGCTAAGCGCAGGCAGGTGGCCACGTGCCTCATGGAGGGGACACATCAGAGGAGCTTCCTATGGGCCTGAGTGACAGTGCTGCAGGTGTGGAATGAACGCATTTATTTACTAAGACGTCTTTATACAGAAACACATAAAACAAGGTTGTGTATTGATCAACCGATGAAACTGCCCAGAGGCTCACAGGAACCTAACCCTATATTTCCTCTGGGAGCAATGCTTACTCAGTGTTGGCTAACTCGGTGTTCATGCAACTTTACATAATTGCTGTGAATGACAAGAACCGCTATCCTTACAATGACCCAGATGTGCAGGCTGCTGAGAGTGTGTGCTGGCCTCTGCCTGCCCTTCCATCAGGATATATACTGGGGTTCCTGGGGGGCCACTGGGGAGGAGTGAGGGGTTCCCTCTTGGAACCAGTCTCCTTGGGAGCAAGGGGTCAGGCTTAGGCTACTGTGCTACTGCGATCGCTGCTTCGCACACAGCTTGTAACAGTTTACATTTCTTCTTCTCGTCCCAAGTTTCCAGAAGGGCACTGTGCGGATGAACTGTCTTGACTGCCTGGACCGAACCAACACCGTGCAGGGCTTCATTGCGCTGGAGGTATGTCCCTGCCTGGCCTCCTGGGCCATCTCTTCTGCATCCCTGCATCCCGTGCCTTCAGCGGCAGGAGGAGGGTGGTGACACTGGATGACCTTCTAGCTGTGGGCAAGGTGGACACGGGTGTGCTGGGGCATCCAGAGAGGCGTTCCCTGGGTGGCTGGCTTGCCGGTGCCCCCACTGCCCCTCCTCTGTCATAGGCACACTTTCTCACACCCTGTACGCAATGCATCCCAGACATGGTGCCCAAAGGCTCCAGGTGCCCCTAGAGGAACAGTAGTTCTGTGTGACGATTGTCACGGCTGCACCACTGGGCAAGGGTGGATGCGGCCGGCTGGATGAGGCTGCATTTGAACCTGGGGAGGAGACCCCAGTCTGCCCAGCTGCCTGGTTGAGCTCTCCTGGCCAGGATGGGGGGACATGTCAGTGCCACCCACTGTCCGCCGCTGTTTGCTGTCCAGCCTCTGGTGCGGGGAGGGGGGGCGGGTGTAAGGGGGTCAGAGGAGGGGCGGGGAGCACTGAGCAAAGCTGGGTGAGTTGTGGCGGGAAGCCGCTTTCTCTGCTGCATGGGCTCCTCCTCCTTGGGAGCTGTGCAGAGTCACCTGGGGTCTGCTGAGTAAGGGACTTCCCCGCACGGCACCTGGTGGGGGCTCCATGAGAGCCGTCGGCGACAACTGTCTGTTCCTTCCCCCCCCAGGTCCTCCACCTGCAGCTCAAGAGCCTGGGGCTGAGCTCAAAGCCCATCGTCGACCGCTTCGTGGAGTCCTTCAGAGCCATGTGGTCCCTGAACGGGCACAGCCTGAGCAAAGTGTTCACGGGCAGCAGGGCCCTGGAAGGGAAGGCCAAGGTAGGGCCCGGCCCGGGGCGGGAGGGCAGGGGCGCCTGGGCCCCTCTCACGCCTGCGGCCTGGTCTCCCGGCAGGTGGGCAAGCTGAAGGATGGGGCCCGGTCCGTGTCCCGCACCATCCAGTCCAACTTCTTCGACGGGGTGAAGCAGGAGGCCATCAGGCTGCTGCTGGTGGGGGACGTGTGCGGCGAGGAGGCGGCCGACAGAGGGAGGATGCTGCTGGACAACACGCCCCTGCTGGGTAGGGCGCCGGCCTGCCAGGGGGCTCGCCACCCCCGTCCCACTGCCCTCTCGGGATCCAGGCGTTGTCTGGGCTCCTGGCTGTGGTCTGGTGGTCTGACCAGGGCCCTGCGTGGCTGGTAGCCGCCGCTCCCCGGGAGCCCGCGCTCCGTGACCTGGAGTGCGAGCGCGCTTCTGCCGTCCTGCCGGGACTGTGTCCCCCTGCCGGGAGCAGGAGAGAGACCCAGCGGGGCTGCCGTCCTGCCGGGACTGTGTCCCCCTGCCGGGAGCAGGAGAGAGACCCAGCGGGCTGCCGTCCTGCGGGACTGTGTCCCCTGCCTGCCGGGAGCAGGAGAGAGACCAGCGGGGCTGCCGTCCTCCCTCGGGAGGCACCCTGGTCCCGTGAATCCTCAGTAGCTGGAGGTCTCTTAGGGGACGTTTCAATGGCATTTTGCCACCGGAGCCTGTCAACGTGATAGGCCTAGCGGAAAAGGAAAGCGCCTCAGCATCTGTCCTTTTAAGTTTTGTTTTAGAAGTTTTTGGTATTTTTGAAAAACGAATTTCCCTGTGTTTAAAATGGTTTCATGGCCCTGTTCTGCCCTCGTTCTTCCGTCATCGGGGGAACTCATTTTGGCTTCTGACAGCCATGGTGATAAGTGGCTCCCACCCTGGGCGTGGTGCCCGCGTGCCAAACGCCGCGGGGAGCTCCGCGTAGGGCCGCGAGTCTCGCTCAGTGGCAGGGCAGGTGCCACTTAGATTTGGGTCATGTAACTCGTCTAAAAACTCCAATATGTTTTGGCTATCTAGCCACGGAGGTGGTTCCCTGTAATGACTTTTTAAAGCCTTAATTAAGTCTGAGATACAACAAAACGTTTCAGGCATGCAGGAGGGACGGCATAAAATGCAAAAATGGGTGGTTTGGTTGGTAAGACGTGTGTGTGTTTATATGTTTTAAATACGGTCAATTGCAGCATCCCTTCGCTTGAATTCCGATGCCTTGTTCTTCTGCGGGGTCAGGGAGTGTGGGGTGGGAGCTGGGGACAGACAGGGCTTTTCCCGGTTGCGTCTGAGGCTCCCGGTGATCGGAGTTAACGGCCACTGGCCTCTGGCTGTGGTCGGGGCAGGGGCGTGGGGGGTGAGTTTGCAGCCGGTGTCTCCATGGCTTCGTGCAAAAATGCCAGGAGGGAGGCACGGGGTGTCTGTGGTCTTAAAGCCTTATATCGCCCTCCTTTAGGGAGCGCAGCTGGGGGCTCGGCAGTCCCCTGCCGGAACAGCGGCTCTCCCATATTTCCGGAGGGTGCCTGCGGTTCTGAGCCGCAGAGCAACGTGTCTTTTTATCCCCCCTCCGAACAGTGACTCCCAGGATCCTGAGAGCAATGACGGAGCGCCAGTCCGAGTTCACGAATCTCAAACGCGTCCGCATCGCCATGGGGACGTGGAACGTGAACGGGGGGAAGCAGTTCCGGAGCAACCTCCTGGGCACGGCGGAGCTGACGGACTGGCTGCTGGACGCGCCCCAGCTGGCCGGCGCCTCGGGGCCCCAGGGTGAGCGCGGAGCTCCTCCAACCCCGCGCCAGGCTTGACCCCCGTGAGAGCCGCTGCCTCCGAGTTCAGTGTGTGCTGGTTTCCTCCCTCAGGATGTTTAAAAGCACCGTGGCCTCACTTTCCAGAATTCCGCCCGGCAGATTAACTCCCCTTTCTTCTCCCAGTGGTGAGAGGAGTCACCGGGGGGCGAACCTCTTTGCTCTTCACACAGGAGATTTCGCAGTCCTGGGTTTGGACCCGTAGAACCTCTTTGTCACCGGCGGGACGTCCTGGCTCCTGGAGCCGCGACCCTGCGGGCTGCAGCCAGGCGTGGCTTCAGTGTTGCTGCTGACCCGGAAGCCCTCGCCCTGGCCGTCCCCCACGCCAGCTCTGTCTTCCGCTTAAAGGAGTCACGAAAGAATTTGTGTACTTTTTAAGAATAGAATGACTCCAGATTTGACACCTCACCTTTTATGTCGGGCGGTGTGAGGTGTCGAACGGCCTCGCAGCTCAGGGCGTGAGGAGTAGAAGCATCTTGTCCACTCAGCCTTCCCTCGGGGCCTTGCTCCGCCTGCTCCGTAGGGCTCAGGACGACACTCGTGGTCTGGCCCTTTGCCTGTGGTGGAGTGGCCCGTGGATCAGGGGACACGCCGTGGCCTGGGCTTGCGTACGTTCTCCACGCTGCCCAGGCGCGTGGCGCCCAGAGCCCCTCCCCGTCTGCCGCACTCGGCCTGTGCCCCGCGCTCCCCCAGGGGAGGGGGGGTCCGAGGCTGAGAGTCTCTGGGCTGCTCCGTGCTGGGCGTGGCCTGCGTTGGTGCTTGTCACGCATCCAGAAACCGTTCTGAGGGACGTGAGAGCAGGCCCCGTGGTGCTGAGGACGTCAGTGCAGGAGGGTCCCTCCTCCATGCTAAAGCGACTCCTCTTCCCTTGCCAGCAGGAAGGCGGGTGGTTCAGCAGGCTGGCTGCCATCGCGCAGGGGTTTTATTGGCGTAGGCGTTGGTGGGCTCACCAGCATTACCCCTACAAAGCCACCAGGTTCAGGAAAAGGAAGGAGTTGCAGTTACTGTTGCCAAACAGATCAAGCAAGGACAGGCATTGTTTTCTCAAAAAAAAAAAAAAAAAAAGATTGGTGAAGCTGGAAGTTCCAGGCTGCCCGGTGTGGCCCAGGAAGGGAAGGGGACAGCTGCCTGGCTGTCACTGATGGAGGCCACTTCCCCCGCTGGAGCCAGAGAGGCAGGTGCCTCATGCTCTGCAGCAGCTGCAACCGTGTCTGGGCTTGAGGGCGCAGGTGCCCGAGTGTCTGAGCACGGGACTGCAGGGACGGCACTAGGCCCTCAGCGTCCCTGTTCGATGGCAATAGAGGCGGAATGTGCGAAGAGCGCCTCTGGGCTCGCAGGGCTGCAGTTGCACCAGGCATCACTGCAGTGGGCTCCGTCAGAGCAGCTCCCTGGAGTGGCGGCAGCCACCTTGGGTTGGACTCGGGCAGTGGACAGCATGGCTTGGAAGAGGGAATGGGGACCCCGTGATCCGGTCATGCAGGACTTCGTTGGTTCTGATTTCTTTCCTCTCCTGCCTTGTTCCCCAGACGACAGCAGCCCAGCTGACATATTTGCTGTGGGGTTTGAAGAGATGGTGGAGTTGAGTGCAGGGAATATCGTCAATGCCAGGTAAGGGGCTGTGTGGGGTGCTCAGCAGGGTCTTCCTGAGCCAGGTGTTTGGCCAGGAACAGGGCCCCCGAGGCTCTCCTCGAGCCAGCCTGTTTCTGAACAGCTGACTGTGACCCTGGCTGCGTCCCCCGCCTCCCGAACCGCCCTGTTGTCTTCTCCCTGCTAACGAGGCAGGAGAGAGAAGGGCTGATCACTGCTGTTCCCTCTGAGCTGTCGGCCTTGGCCACATGTTGAGGCCGATTGGCACTGCCGTGGGAGCTGGTGCGTGTGAACCGGGGTGCAGGGCAGGGCTGGGACGGTGGCCAACTCGTGTTTCCTGGGGAGAGGTGAGAAGGCGAGCGTGCAGGCAGGAGGCACGCCCCTCCTTTACTCCAGGACAAGGAATCATAACCACTGGATTGAGCTATGAGTGCACCACCGCACTCCAGCCTGGGCGACAGAGACCCTGTCTCTTAAAGACATAAAATATTAAATAGAGGCTGGGCGCGGAAGTCACGCCTGTAATCCTAGCACTCTGGGAGGCCGAGGCAGGCGGATTGCTCGAGGTCAGGAGTTCAAACCAGCCTGAGCAAGAGCAGAGACCCGTCTCTACTATAAATAGAAAGAAATTAATTGGCCAACTAATATATATATAGAAAAAATTAGCCGGGCATGGTGGCGCATGCCTGTAGTCCCAGCTACTCGGGAGGCTGAGGCAGCAGGATTGCTTGAGCCCAGGAGTCTGAGGTTGCTGTGAGCTAGGCTGACACCACGGCACTCACTCTAGCCCGGGCAACAAAGCGAGACTCTGTCTCAAATATATATATATATATATATAATAGAATCAAACCCTACTAAAACCACTGGGTTAACATTTGGTGTAAAGTCAACCGGACTTTCTGCCTCCACCCTTCCTAAACTTGCCCAGCTTTAGTTCAAGGAATTTTCTGAACGAATAAATAAAACTGACTCTGTGGAGCTCCTACGAGAAGGTCCTTGCTGGCTGTCGGAGGCGAGGAGGGGGCTGCCGTGATGTGCGAGACACACACAGCCGAAAATACGCGGGCCGCCCGCCGCGCTGGGCACAGGCAGTGTGAATTCGGTTCCGAAACAGGAACGAGCGGAGGGCCGGGCAGCAGGTGGGTGGGAGATGGCGCTTCCACGCTGCCTGTCTTTCCTCTCCAGCACCACCAACAGGAAGATGTGGGGTGAGCAGCTCCAGAAAGCCATCTCACGCTCTCATAGGTACATTCTCTTGACTTCGGCACAGCTGGTGGGCGTCTGTCTTTATATCTTTGTGCGTCCATACCATGTCCCGTTCATCAGGTAAGAACCTTTGTTTACGAACATCTGGGGCACGAGGGGTGTTAGTCTTTGTGTCTTGTTCTATGACTTCCTCCTCCTCTTCTGCAGCAGGAATGGGGATCTGCCATTATTCTAGATAAGTGTAGCAAAACCCCCAAGGAAAAACTAGGCTGAATAGCATATTGTCCAGCCATCAAAAAGCCACAATGGGGAACTTCTGACCCAGGAAGCTGAGCGTTCTTAGAGTGTTGCATGACTGTCCTCACCCGGGCCCGGCTCTGTGCAAGGGAAGGAGTTCCTTGTGGGAATTTTACAGACAGGAAACCTGTGACCAAGAGCTGAGTAACTCGTCGGGAAACTACAATTCTTTTGTCTCTTTTTGGAAGAATTCTAGGGAGACTGTGGGGCCTCCGCCACTGCCCGTCAGCTATTGTTTTTTCAGAGTCACAGCTCCATGAGTGTCAGAAGGGGGAACCCTTAGGAAACGAGTTTCCTGTTGGGGAGGGGTGGGCGTGGGTTTTAAGACACTGGAGAAACTCGGCTTTTCCCTCCACTTTCCGGTAGCCTCATCTTGCTGCCTGGCTTCATGGCCTTGGGATGTCCTCGTCTTGCTGCTTGCCGATGGCTGGCCCCGCGCTCACCTTCCCCCTAAGCCACGCAGGCCCATGCCTGGCTGAGCACCTGTGCGTGCCCAGAGCGCCACAGGCGTCCCCCGCGGCAGCACGTGGGGAACAAGACCGTGCTCCGGGTTCATGATCCTCTCTCGGGGTGGGAGGGGGGTGGTGGCAGGGTGTGACACCCACGCTGCACCTGCGGGCAGCGAGAAGGGGCCTGCCGCGTCTCCAGCTTCAGCGGGTGCTCGTACGGGCCCAGAGCTCTGCCGGTCGGGACACTGGGAAGATGCTCCTGGCAGCTGTTGGCAGTGAGAGGGAGGCGGCCTCCTGGCTGTGCAGCCGGTGACGGTCACGTGGGTCACTGTGCCGCGCGGCCGCTGGAGATGTGACGGAATAGCTCGCTGAGCGGCGGGTGTGGCCCTGCCTCGGGGCTCTGGTCCGCGCTTCCCTGCGCGGCCGCTGAGCGCGGCGGTGTGCACGTTCTTCTCTTGCAGGGACGTGGCGATCGACACGGTGAAGACGGGCATGGGCGGGAAGGCGGGCAACAAGGGCGCCGTGGGCATCCGCTTCCAGTTCCACAGCACCAGCTTCTGCTTCCTGTGCAGCCACCTGACCGCCGGCCAGTCCCAGGTGAAGGAGAGGAACGAGGACTACAGGGAGATCACGCAGAAGCTCTGCTTCCCCACGGTGAGCGGCTGCTAGGGGCCAGGCCCGGGACACGGCCACAGGAGGGTCCCTGCCCTGAGGGCTTGGCCCGGGGGACACGGGTGGAGCACGCGGTGTGCCCCCCGCAGCCTTCTGTCCCCTCCTCCCTGAGCAGTCCCCGAGTGTGTGTAGGGCCCTAGGGTTTCGTGTGTGCATTTGCCGATTCTGTCACTGAAGTGCTGCGTTGGGGAAAGAAAACCGATGTGCCTATGCTCAGTCCTGTCCGAGTGGTGGGAACAGTTGCGTCCAGACAGTAGGAATCTCCGTTTCCTCGAGATGAGCCCTCTTCTCACACAGCCCGTTGTGGCTCAGATACGCACACCCCGCTTCAAACCCTGGATTCCTGGCCCAGGAGCCTCAGCCTGTCCCCAGGCTGCCTGTGACGCACATCCTGCGCCCTCTTGCGGCCGCCCGGAGTCCTCGCTCTGGAGCCGGAGGACTTTACCTTCCACATCTGGATGATGATGAGCCCTGCACACCTGCCCCTGGCGCAGGCCCCGCCTGTTAGGCTTCAGCTGTTCTCGCCACGGACTCGTCCAGTGTCTGAGGGACGGCGGGTTGGGTCACAGAGCTCGTCCGCCTAGAAAGAAAGTCCTTAAAATTGACGTCCTGTGTCCTGGCTGCACAAGCACTCGAGGCAGAAATGCCTTGGTTTTCATTAATAAGTGCCATGGTCCTTGTGGCAGTTTTTGTTCCTCGAGTTATACAAGAAACAAATAAATGAGCTCAGACATTTTTAATTATATGTAATGTAGTTAAAAAAGAAAGTCCAACCCTTGTCACTTACAAATGCAAACGTGAGACACGGTCCAAATAATTGAAGGGCTTGTAAGGTAGCTCTTTTTTTTCAACAACAGAAATATCGAGGGTACCTAAAAGTTAATCTTCTACACTAGCATTGTCTAATACAGTGGCCACTGGTGATAAACTTAATTAAAATAAAACCAATAACTCCGTGCTTGCAATGGGCAACTGAAGGTGCCCAACATCTGCCTGTGGCCAGGGGCTCCGTTGTCAGACAGTGCAGGGCGTTTCCAGTGCTGCGGAAAGTTCTATCAGTGCTGTTCGGCGCGCGATCTATTTAGTTGGGATCATTTTAACCTTCCGTCCAGATTATCGTCGTGGGGGATGTGGGAACGCCACGTAGTGCGGGCGAACAGACACAGATGTTGGAGCTCGGCAGATCTGAGCTCGGATCTCTTCTTCATCGTGCACCCTGCAGCAAGTTACTTTACTTCTGGCCTTGATTTGTTTTGCTTTTAAATCTAGAACAGAGCCAGCAGTGTCTGCTACGCAGGGGCTGCTGTGAGGACAGTGTGCACCCGGAACAGAGCCCGGCCTAGTAGGCAGTTGACCCGCAGCAGCTGCTGTCATGGCTGTGGTCTCTGGGGACAGGGACAGGGAGGGCAGGGACCCCAGGAGCTGTCCAGGGCCAGCCGGGCCGTGGGCTCCTGGTGACTGGGCAGGTTTGGAGGAGGAGGAGGAGTGAGCAGGAGAGGAGGGAGGGTGAGAATGTTCCAAAGTCATGAAGTTTGATGGAGGTGCACGGTCTGAGCACTGAGGCTGCTCTTCTTGAGTCTCGTTTTCGTGACGCTGAGTGACCGACCGGGCAGTTCTCGGGAGCGGACGTAGCCATGCAAGAGCACAGTGGGTCCTGGGGAGGGGACTCGCAGAGGAGACGCTGTTTAAAATAAAATGAGCCACACAAAAATTCCTCAGTAGGTTTAGGAAATTAGTGAAAAATTGAGATGCTCTTAGTAGAAAACTTTTTTTTTAAAGTAGCTTTTTAATAAAAAAATACTGCTGCTTGTGCCTTTTCTCCCCTCTCCTGCCCACCTCCCTGCAAGACGGGCTGGAGTGACTGTGATTTTCTTTACAACTTAGGGGAGAAACATCTTCTCTCACGATTACGTGTTTTGGTGTGGCGATTTCAACTACCGCATCGATCTTACTTACGAAGAAGTCTTCTATTTTGTGAAACGCCAAGACTGGAAGAAACTTCTGGAATTTGATCAGTTACAGCTACAGAAATCAAGCGGAAAAGTAAGTTGTGCTTTTAAGACATTTTTCGGCAGCTTCTACAACATGGAGTGACAATATGGAACGAAACGTACACTGGTGTTCGGCAGATGCAGTTCCATGAGTGGATTTAACGGCATCTGTGGTGTTATAGAGAACTCGGGTGTGTGAAGTGACAGGAGTGGCCGGAGGGGCCACTCACACGCTCCTCCTGCCTCTCCTTGTCGGGCTTTGGCTGCCGTATGTGGATCCGTGTGTCTTCCCGTGGCCGGAGGGGCCGTCGCATGGGAAAGCCAGCTTGGGAGCGTTGAAGCTGGCCGTGGGGGCTGACAGCAAGGAGCGTCCGTGCCCAGCCCGGGCACGCGCTCCCGTGCTCGGAGGGGGACCTGTGTCCTTCCCGCCTCCTGATGGGCTGAGCCCTGGCGCCTCCCTCTGTGAGGCGGTAGCTGTCCAGCCCACACGGCCCCAGTGCCAGCACCCGAGCATTTCACCGTGTGGGGGTGTCGAATGCCGAGTGCTGGTGTGACGAGTCCACGTACACCAGATCCACTTCACCTCCTGCTCGGGTGCAGGACAGCTTTACTTCAGATGTAATAAACCACCAGTGACACTTTGTGCTCGGCTCCAAATACTCTCTTTTGGTGATGTCACTATTTCTTGTTAGTAAAAACACTAGCAAGTTATAGCACTAAAGACGTACAATTTGTGTGTGTGATCCTCATCGCCACCCTACAGATTAGTATCATACCCATTTTATAGGCAAAGAAAACTGAGGACAATGTCAAACGAGTTATCCAAGGTCACACAGCCAGTACAGAGCCATGGTTTGGTCCAAGAGTGTCAAACTCCAGAACTCATATCTTCCCTCTACATGGCCCGTGTATGGTTTTTTAGGGACTCCTTAGGCTGTGACATACATAGGAAAGACTCAACCACGGGATCTGTCTTCAGTCCTTCCACGTCACGCCGGCCAGCTCCCAAATGTTCAGAATTTATGTTTTCCTCCAGCTCATACTGTTTACTCATTTCAGCATCTGTTAGCTTCCTAGCAAGACGGGCTAAGGTGACGGAAGTCTGTCTAAATTCCGTCTACCTGTTGAGAAAGAGGCTGGTTAAATGTGCGAGGCTGGGGAAGACAAGGTCTCTCCTAAAGTGTGAGATTCGGACATTCTTCGAGGTTTTCTGTGCCTTCCCACCTCTGTCCCTGCCAGTACGTGGATCGCCGAGGGGTGGCCAGGTGGACAAGGGACCACACCAAACCCCTACAGCAGGCTGTCCTTTCCCCTCCTGCCAGCATTCTCACACCCTTTCCGTGATGTGCAGAGACAACAAGTGACTGTTTGTTCCTGGGTCTTCCCAGGGCACCCAAAGCTAAACAAAGAGGGGAGCTCACTTTCACTCTGCCTCTGTGTGCTCAAGTCACCTGCTCAACAAGCCGAGACTTAGGCCTGTCGGGCATGGGCCGGGCCTTGCACCAGGCCTGAGACTGCGCCTAAAAGCATGCCGGACCCCCCTCGGGGCTCCTGCCGTCTCCTGGGACCACCAGTGGACGGGACCGATCAGACACTAGAGGGAGGGCTCAAGGGTGGCGTGTCTGTCAGTAGGATGAGCAGAAGATCCCTACTCTTTTGCTAGTTAAAAGGCACATGTATGTCCAGTTTTAGATGTATTTGCAAATATAATATAGCTTCTGTTACTTTTTAGGGATAGAACACTCTGGAAAGTGCCTTTTTGTTTTTTGTTTTTGCATAAAACATACAGAATCTTGAAGAACTAAAGTAGTCTTGTGACTTCTTTTTCTCCCCATAGATTTTTAAGGACTTCCACGAAGGAACCATTAATTTTGGGCCCACCTACAAGTACGACGTTGGCTCGGCCGCCTACGATACAAGCGACAAGTGCCGCACCCCGGCCTGGACAGACAGGGTTCTGTGGTGGAGGAAGAAGCATCCTTTTGATAAGACAGGTGAGTGTCCCAGAGCTGTGGGGCTGGACGGTAAACACCAGAGAGGAAGACACTCACATTGACCCAGCCCAGTGCTCTGCTATGTAAGTTCCAGTTTTCTTAATAACCCAGAATGACACAAGTCATCCGGATGTTAACCCCTAAGCTTTAGAGGCTGTGCTTTGGGCGAGCTCCCCCCGGCCTCTTTCTGGAGATGGTGACTTGCAAATGGGTCTGCTCCTGGCTGCCCCCATCCCTGCGTCATGGCTGCCTCCCCCGGCTCGTTCCGGAGAGTGAGGAGCAAGGCATCGTGAGGCCCCTGCTCACGCACGTCCTTCGTGCAGCTCGCTGTGCTGTGCGGAACTCTTCTCTGCTTACAGCCCCGGTTCCGCAGGGAACACGAGCAAGACACAGCAAAAATGAGAGTTGATTCTGCTTTAAATCGATGCATTGTCAAGGATGTGTTGAGCAATCGTTGATGCCCAGCTAGGAAGTGAAGTTGATTTAAAGGTAGAACACCTATAGACTAGAGCATAAACAGTAATAACACATATCAGGAGGAGATGTCTGCTGAGATTCGAAAGCCAGGAAACTGCCTCTGCAGATAGAAAAGACGACTTTTCCTTCAGAGAGGTCTGTGAAGGCCCGCACGGCCCCGAGCACCCAGAGGCAGGGCGTCCGCAGCTGGCCCGGAGCTCCAGGGCCCTGGGCAGAGACCCGCAGCTGCAGAGTGTGGGTCCCACAGCCCCCACGCTGGGGAGGGTGGTAGGGGGTCAAGGTCACTACTGGTTTGAATGATTAACCCTGGGCCCAAAGCAGCCGAAGCCTGGCTTCAAGTTCGAGGGGGTAAAGGGGACGAGCCTGAGCCGCGAGGCGGGTAGCAACATGGATCTCTGTCGTGCTAGTTCCGCCATCACATTCCTGTACATTGTGATTTGTGTTGCATGTGGATCTCTTCCATGAACTGCCACGAGTAGCTAGAGAACTCGGCCTTGTAAACTGCGATCTAGACGTTGACACCAGAGGCAGACACACCTGGTCCCCTGGCGCCCTCAGGTATTACGGCCGCGCGGAGCTGCAAGCGTCTGATCACAGGTGAGGTCCTGGCTCCAAGGACACTTTGTCCTTTGCTGGGGAAGGCGGCGTCTCCTCCTCCCCACCGGGAACCGGCATGCTGTCGCCACGGGATTTGCGCACGGCACGCTAAAGAATGACGAATAATACGACAAATATTAATATTTGTGTACCCATGCCCAAGGATAAATAATTGTTAGCATTTTGTCATTGTTCCGTATTGTAAATGAGATTTATGAAAATTTCAAAGATACAACCTCTATTGTATTTTGTGGCTTTTAAAATTTTCTTAATGATTTTGTTGTCCAACTTTCTTTTTTGTCCTTTTTTGTAACATTTGCGAGATACAATCCTGTGGATATTATAGACCCGGTTCATTCATTTGCACCTGCTGTCCAGTGTTCCACTAAATAGATCATTTACCCATTCAGTTACTGATTTTTTCCCCAATATTTTATTTTTGCAAGCACCATAGGTTTTTTTTTGAGACAGAATCTCACTCCGTTGCCCGGGCTAGAGTGCTGTGGCGTCAGCCTAGATCACACCAACTTCAAACTCCTGGGCTCAAGCAATCCTCCTGCCTCAGCCTCCTGAGTAGCTGGGACTACAGGCATGCGCCACCATGCCCGGCTAATTTCTTTGTTTTTAGTAGAGGTGGGGTCTCACTCTTGCTCAGGCTGGTCTCGAACTCCTGAGCTCTCAAACGATGCACCCACCTCGGCCTCCCAGAGTGCTAGGATCACAGGCATGAGCCACCGCGTCCAGCCACCATAGGGTTTTTAAATCTTGGACTGGGACTTTTCAATGTTCCGAGCTGCTGGTTTGGCTTCCGGCATCGTGAATAGAGGATGGGAAGGAAGCAGCAGGCAGCAGGGGACAGCGGTGTGAGGGGCTGTCAGCCCGGGCTGTGCACTAGGACTGCTGCCAAAGGGACTCGTCTTCGGAATGTCCTTTAACAGACAGCCGAAGGTGGCATTTGATGGTGTGGATAAGGATTTGTTTGGTCTTCCCAAGGCTGCCGCCAAAACTATTGTGTCAGTTTCAACTTTTACAAGGGAAGAAATGAGGAAAAAGAGCCGTGAACTGTTAGCCAGTAGGTCTAAAGCCCTAGAGCAGGGGTCCTCAAACTCTGTAAACAGGGGGCCAGTTCACTGTCCCTCAGACCGTTGGAGGGTCAGACTATAGTTTAAAAAAAATCTATGAACAAATTCCTGTGCACACTGCACATACCTTATTTTGAAGTAAAAAAACAGATGGGCAAAAACACCCGCATGTGGGCTGAGGGCCGAAGTTTGAAGACGCCTGCTCTAGATCCTGGTACGTCCTTTAGATACCTGTTGTTGCAAATACATACCTGGAAATGAATCTTGGGGAATTTTCAGATGTGTGATGTTAGGATTTGCTAGTGCAAGGAGTGGATTTAGAAACCTTCATTTAACCAGTATTTACTGGGGGCCCTCATGTGTCAGGCCCTGCTGCTGGCACGGGAGGCAAGCAGTGAACAAAGCAGAGGAGACCGTGCTCTCATGGAATTTGCTAGAGAGGACAGACAGACATACACAAACATAAGCGCTGTGAGTGAAAGCAGAGTGTGGCAGGCCGGGTTGGGCTGTCTTCCACCCGCGTCCAGGGACGGCAGTGTTCTGCTGTATTTTCCAGGTACAACAGACACACATGCTCACAGGTGTAAAATTAGCATAAAAGGATGAGGATGACGTTATGTGACTTGTTTTAGCGTTTGCTTTTTTACTTCAGTAATATTGTTTAAATTGGACTTGCCTGCGCTTCGCCCAGTTGCCCCGTGGTGACACCCTACGAGTCCAGAGTTTAAGCGCCCCGTCCCCCAGGCCTCCCTCTGGTGTCCTTTGTAACCCTGCTCGTTCTCCCACCCACCCTCACCCTCCCTTCCCCCTGGCCGCCACCCGGCTTCCCTCCTTGTCTATAATTTTGTCGTTTCAAGAATGTTGCACAAACAGAATCAGAGTCTTGGGACTGGTTCTCCACCCAGCATCCATCTCTGGAGATTCCCGTGGGTAGTCGTGTGACCCATATTTCATTCCTTCTTGAAGGAAGCCACCCGCCACACACTCCTGCTTTTGCCCAGTTAATTACCCAGTTAACATGTGGGGCTCCTCCCAAAAGTACTTATGCTAAAAGAAGTTTTCAAAAATCATCTACAGCCGGGCACAGTAGTTCACAACCTGTAATCCCAGTTCTTTGGGAGGTTGAGGCAGAAGGATTGCCTGAACCCAGGAGTTCAAGACCAGCCTGGGCAACATAGCAAGACCCCATCTCTAAAAAAAAAAATGTTTTTATAAATTGGCTGGGCATGTTGGTGTGTGCCTGTAGTCCCAGCTACTCAGGAAGCTGAACCAAGGGGATCATTTCAACCCCAGGAGTTTGAGGTTTCAGTGAGCTATGATGATGCCACTGCATTGTAGACTGGGTGATAGCAAGACCCTATCTGAAAAATAATTTAGTTAAATAAAAAATAAAAATCACTCACCTTAGTACATTTCCCTGTGTCAGAGTTTCTTAGCTTTCTTTCTTCCTGAATGCCAAAAAAATATAAATCTAACAATAGTAATATAAATTTGGGGCAGGATATTAATATTATCACACCATCATATCTCAATTTTTGCAGTATTATCTAGTTTTAAGGGCTGCCACCATATTGGATATTATTGTGTATTATTTTTTGTTTCTACTTAATACTGTATTGTAAATGCTTTCAATAAGGTTACATAATCTTCATAGTATAGAATTTTCTAAATTTTTTTTTATTTTTTTATTTTTTAATTTTTTTTTATTTTGGCATATTATGGGGGTTAAATTTTTATAAAATAACATCCATACCTATATCAAAATCATTATAATGATTGCATTATTTCCTGCTAAACTGTTTTCCTGTGTATATCAAATATATTTCTACAACATTATTCTTTTAATGATTGCATAGCATATTATTATACGGACGTATCATGACTGCTTCCCCATTACAGAACAATTAGATCATTTCTCCTTTTCCCATCCCATCAGCAATGTTGTAAATGATTGACCTTGCATATAGTATAAATCTCTGTCTGGATTTCTGATCAGTTCCTTATAATAAAGTGCTAGAAATGAGAGTACTAGGTGAAAAGAGATGAATGTTTTTGAGACTCTGAATTCAAATTGCCAAATAGCCGTCTGAAGAGCTCGAAGCCCTGGCAGAGTGAGAATGCCCCTTCCCCACCCCTCGGCAGTGCCAGGGATGACCACGCGAAAGATCTTTGCTGATGGCTGGTTATTTTTCAGGTCCTGGGCTACATCTTTAGTGTTCTGCAGCCATCCTTAGGTAACAGTGCCAAAATGATACTACTACTGGGGAAAGAAAAAGACCAAAATGCTAGGACAAGGCTGCCAGCCTGCAGTCACCTGCCGATTCGCCGCCGGCGGCCTCACCCTTAGGTGGCCGATGTGGACTGTTTGCAGCAGAGCCCCGGGTGCTGAGGCTGCGGATTACAGGCTGGGGGTGTGCGTGTGGTCCCAGGCTCACTGTCATCCTCTTCCCTTCTGCCCCAGACCCGTGCTGGCCATCGTGGAGGTGGAAGTACAAGAAGTCGATGCAGGTGCTCGAGAGAGGGTTTTCCAGGAAGTGTCCTCTTTCCAGGGCCCCCTGGATGCCACCGTTGTCGTCAACCTTCAGTCGCCAACCTCAGAAGAGAAAAACCAGTTTCCTGAGGACCTGCGTATCGAACTCATGCAGACTCTGGGGAATTACGGGACGATTGTCCTTGTCAGGTAGCCACTTGCCCTGGCTGCCGCGGGTTGGGGGGTGTCAGGGAGGATCCGTGAGAGCTGCCGAGCCGTGCCCGGCGCTGATGAGACAAACCTCGTTCGTTCCAGGATCAAACAAGGGCAGATGCTGGTGACTTTTGCAGACAGCCACTCGGCTCTCAGCGTCCTGGATGTGGACGGCATGAAGGTATGTCGTGCTTGGCCACGCCGTGGGGCGAGGTCCGATCCATCCCACTGTCATGCGGCCGTGTCTTCCCCTCTCCTCTTGCCCTGGCCTGCGCCCCGCTTGAGTCCCTGTGTGGGCGCCACCCGCGGGAAGGAGCGCCCATGCCTCACTCAGGTTCTGAGCCGGCTCGTGTCCAGCCCTCACTGCTTGCATAACTGGGCAGTAAAAGCGCGTCTTAGAGTGTAGCTCCCCGTGAGTCACGCGGGCCGTCCTCGTTCACACCCATGTGGGGCAGCGTGCTGCTCTTTCTCTTCGGAGTGTGCATTTTGGAATATGCAGCTCGTAGGGAGTCTCTGTTTTGATGATATCCTGGCTTTGAGCTTGCTCCGAATGGGAAGCTGGAGACGAGAGTTGAGCGTCAGGCCACACGGGAAAGAGCCGTGCTGAGCCGGCGCGAGGTCCGGACCTTCCGTTTTTCTCCTAAGCAGGAAGACTGGCCTGGCTTTGGGTGCGTGGGTTTGAGTGTGATCTAAGGGAGTTGCGGCGATGTCCGTGCTGATTTGTGGACGCCGCCCTGTCCTCACAGGTGAAAGGCAGAGCCGTGAAGATCAGACCAAACACCAAGGACTGGCTGCAAGGCTTGCGTGAGGAGATCGTTCAGAAGCGGGACAGCAGGGCCCCCGTGTCTCCCACCGCCAACTCCCGCCTGCTGGAGGAAAACTTCGACTTCACGAGTCTGGACTATGAGTCAGAAGGTTGGTGCCCTGCTGGAGGGCGGGCAGGCAGCTCCCCCAGCAGCGGGCCCGAGGGTTCCCAGGTCTGGTCCGGAGGCCTGCCTTGCAGAGCTTGCAGAGGAAGTGGGAAGTGCAAGCGTGCCATGCCGTGTGCCGGGGCGGGCCGTGTCCGTGTGTGGGGAAGACGCACACGGGTACACGGGACCCGGAGACGGCTGAACTTCATAAGCGTGGGTTTGGGGGATGTCGGGGCTGTGCGTGAGTGAAGGAGGGGCCCAGGCCGCGGGAGGTGTGCGCAGGTTGCTGTGCCTTCTGCCCTGGTCGTTCACCTTCTGATCGTGGTTCACGTCGTTCTCCCAGGGGATATTTTTGAAGAGGACGAAGACTACTTGGTGGATGAATTCGGCCAGCCTGCAGTCTCAGACGGTGAACTGGGGGGAGACGACCTTCCTGGCGCCGTGGGCTCCACGGCAGTGGCTCCTCCCAGCACGTCCCCTGCACTCACCAAAAAGAAGCAGCGTCCCACGTACAGAGGTAGCGAGACCCTCCTTTTCTGCGAGCCTCCGGCATGGAGTTCACGCAGCACCGGCTCCTCCTTCCCTCGGCAGGCAGGCGTGCGGGTCCCGGGACAGGCCCGAGGCGGGGAGGCATAGCGAGGGGCGGGGCCCGAGCTCTGGGAGGTGTCCAGCTGCCACACGCTGATGTCCTCTAGGGACTTTACTTTTGACAACTTGTACCTAAAGCAGACCAGAGTCAAGATGATTCCTGTTTCCTCTGTATGTTCAAATGGCCACAGTTCCAAGCTGGTTCTATTACTTGTGATTTTCTTTTTCTCCCCAAAACTTCTCTGATTCAATCCCATGAGAGCCGTATTCAGTGTCTGTCACCTGAGTTGCTGGTGTGTTGTTATATTCGTATAATATCATACTGTTACACAGTCATTAGTCACATCATTCTATCATTCTGCACTCAAGTAAAGAGGGCCTGAAAGGTCATACGGATAGAACTGCACACCCCGAGATTAAATGGCACGGCAACTCTTTGCAGTAAGTTTAAAACCCGCTAGAGTTACATGGCTGGCAGTGGGGTAGTTCGTGTTTCAGCATCAGCTACGCTGACACCATCCCATCCACAGCCAAGAATGCCGCCAGCTGCCACCCCTTGGTGTCCCCAGTCGGAGGCCAGCTCTGGCCAGCAGGTGCAGGAGCTTAGCCATGTGTTGGGACCCTTGAGCTACGGCTGACAACAGAGAATCAGGCTGAAAGCGAATTAAGGTGCTTCCCAGGGAGGGTTCAAAGACCCCCTCGTCCCTTTGTCTGTGCAGCAGTCCCAGACTGATGAATAGCTTGCCCGTGCCAAGCCACGACTGCTGAGCTCAGAAGTGGAGATTTGGGTTTGGGAGGGGCAGGGTGGGACCCTGCAAGTCTGGCATTTCATGAGGCTCCCAGGTGGTTTGGACGCACGGCCAGGTGTGGGGACTACTGCCCCACGGAGAAGCATGGCCATGTGGCTTTGCAAGTTTCTCGTGCAGAAGGCTCCTGCCCTGGAGTTGAAGTGACTGAGGGGATGTGCTCTTCAGACAAGAGGTGGGCCTTTTCTCCAGGGGTGGCTGTCATTCAGGCTGCCTCTGGAGCTAGGGCAGGTGTGAGCGCAAATGCCTTCTTCGCATGAAGAAATCAATAGAGCAACGTGGGTGGCCTTGCCCCTGGCGGGCATCAAGAGGACAGTCCTCGATGCCGTGGGTGTTCAGCCATGCCCTTTAGAAGGAGCGGTACTGCTTCTCCCCGATCCAGCCTCAGAGACACCTGAGATGGAGCTGTCGGATGGGAGGGTAGAGTGTCTGAGAGGAAACGAAACGCGGAGGGCTGCGCTGCGGCTTGCGAGAGAAGCCCCGAGTTGACGTGGAATAGACAGAGCCCTCGCCTCCTGGGCCCGCTTGGCTTCTGAGAAGGCACATGCAGGGCGAGTGAGGACGGCTCACACCTGTGGCCGTGGCAGTGGGCTCACGGGGTGTGGCATCTGGGCAGTGGGCAGGATACTGCCCCTAGGAGCCTGTCGTGGGACTCGAGGCTGCCCTGCTGCCAGGGAAGGGGGGACATTCGCAGCTTCCAACCCTGCTGACGTGTCTTAAAGTGAGGAATTAAAGACTTGTCTCTCCGTGGCTGGGTGACCTAGGGGCTCTGGTTTTCAGCGTCAGTCTTTACTCTGTGTGGCTCTTTGATAGTTTCCCAAGGAGACGCACCTACGCTCTAAAGTATTTCAGTGTCTCTCGAGTCTGGAAAATACACCTTGGCGGCGGTTTATCGAATGTCCCAAGCAGGCGTTGGGTGCCTGTCCCCTGCCCTCGCCAGCAGGAAGGGGCTGTTCCTGCAGAGCCTTGAGCTGCCCTGCGGCGGGTCCCCTGCTATAGGCAGCTTGAGTGCGCAGACCCTGGGCTGACACGCGTGTTTGGAAAAGACCGTCTTCCTCACGACCCGCCGTGTCCTGCAGATGACACGGACCTGGTGGAGCTAAAGCAGGAGCTGGACGCAGTCGGGGATTTCCGCCACCGCTCTCCCAGCAGGTCTCTGTCGGTCCCCAGTAGGCCCCGGCCACCTCACCCACCACAGAGACCCCCCCCTCCAAGTAAGACTCTGCTTGCTTTCGGCTGACCCCGATGCCTGCTGGGAGCGATTGCCTAGTCCCTGCTGCTGAACACGTGGCTGCAAATCTGCTTCTCCCGGCCTCTGAGTGCCCACAACGCTTCTCCCCCATGGGCTGCCTTTTGTCTGAAATGCAGGGCGTGTTTGGCGTTGGAGATCCTTGTGCTTCTCGTGGCAAACGACAGGATTGCTTCCAGAGCTGCTCTCCAGCCCGTGTCTGCGCTTCTGCTGCTGCTCTCAGCTGGGGCCTCGTGGCGTGGGGCCGGGGACCACCGTGCTGGAGCGGCTTGTCTAGCTGTGCAGTCAGGCGCCTCCCTCCTTGGCGGCCGCCCAGCCCTCCCTCTGCTTATTAGGATCTAGTAATCCCAGGTCCCTAACCTGAAGGTGACCCGGGTCACCCTCTGCCATCCGAGGAGTCTTGTTTACCAACGTTCCTCAGACTTGGAGAACAAGCTCTGCCCCAGCCCGGCTCCCATAGCGTCGTGGTCTTCTTCTTGCTCCGCAAACAATGCCACGCCATCAGACTTTGCTTAATAACCTGCAAATAAACTCATGATATGCTTCTGACCAGCCTCCATGTTACTGCTACGGTTTACTTCTCCCCCACCACAAGGTGACCATCAGACTTAGATTTGCCTAAGCTGGCACTTTCAGAATAGGGTTCATCGTGGCTTGCATCACAAGCCAGAAGCACGAGACGTTTTAAGCATGTTTTGCTTTTCTGAGCTTATACTCAGAAAAAAAAAATATATATATATATATATAGAATTAAAATATAAAAATAGAATTTATAAACCATCTATTGTGGACATTTTACGAAAATAGAGAACTATAAAGAAGAATGAAATTTGAAAATTCACTTGACTACCTACAGATAATAGTTATTAACCAAAAGACTTCTAGTCTTTTTCCAGTTAGATATGTCCATGGCTACATACAATTTTTATTATAAACTTGATGTCCGTTTTGCTTAGTAGTCTTTCTTTCATTTATTGTGTCATATCTTCTGTGTCGTTAAATGTTCTAAAACGATTCAAGTATAACATGGCTGCAAGAATAATTTAACATAATTTGTTCCCCTGCTTTGGGATTTGTGGTTTTTTTTTTCCTTTAATTATTTTTTATTTTTCCCCACAAAATGTTTTAAAAATCTGGTCCTAATAATACTAATGTTTTAAACCATTTAAAAATCAGTTGGTTTTTATATCAAATTTGGAGCCCGCAGGATGTTAGATTAAAATTGGCATCCAAATAATGCTGCTCTGGAGCACGGGCTGCACCACCAGGCAGAGCGTGAGAGAGTCGCAGGACTCCGTGGATCCTCGGGCCCCCGCCTGCTGGGCATCCAGCCCGCCCGCCTCCCGCACCTGCCGTCCGCCCGGCGCCACCAGCTTGCTCGGCCTTCTCGCCCTGGCAGGAAAGTCGTGGCTTCACTGAGACTGAGATTCTGCTCTCGTTGGTTTTTACAGCCGGGTTGCTGGTGAAAAAGTCGGCTTCAGACGCGTCCATCTCCTCCGGCACCCACGGGCAGTATTCAATTTTGCAGACGGCGAAACTCCTGCCGGGAGCCCCGCAGCAACCGGTGAGTCTCTCCGCATTCAGCGCAGAGTCAAACAGGTGGCGTTTCGAGCCCAGCAGGTTTGCCTCGGGACAGTGCAGGATCGCCTCTTTTCAGTGAATAAATAGATTTATGTCTCTTTTCTACCTACCCACCACCTCCTCCCCCAAACCCCATAGCTCTTAGTAGCAGGTCCTTTGTAGGGCTTTTAGATGGTTGTGCAGAGTGTTCCAGAGAAAATCACTTTTGATGAAAAAATCCCCAGTGTCCCTGCCAGGGGGGACTGCTAGTTCTACACCCATCTGTGTCTCTCCCCTCCGATTCTTGCCTTTGCCCTGGGTACACGGAGCAGCGGTCGGTAGGAGAAACTCAGATCCGTCATCTTGAGGAGATGATGATGGTTCTGGCGTAAAGCTGGTTGACAGAAGAGACTAAAAAGAGACTTAGATTCCCCTACAACCTAAGTTACAAAGTAGGGGAACACAAGAAAGAGTAATCATCATTTGGGGTTGTGGGGGTGGAGGGTTCCAGAGGGTTCTGCGAGCTGCTGGTTCAGAGTGTGGGTGGAGGCCAGTGGAATGGGGTGGGCCAAGAAGCCGCTGCTGGGGGACAGCTGCGCCCCACGATGCCACTTGACAGGCTGGAGGGCGGGGCCTGGCCCGGTGCTCGGGCAGCCACGGCAGGTGGCGGGGTTCACTCGATGCCAGTGGTTTACAGGTACCAAGGGGGCTTGTCAAGGACGACCCTGATGCTGGGTGAACAGGTGGGAAAAGCACTTGTAAGGAAACACGTATCTGAAAGGTGCTTTAATGGCTCAGCCAGACCGCGGAAGGAGTGGCCTCTGATTCTGCCTTCTGGCTTCTACCTGGTTACTGACATGGATGGTTTGTCCACACACAAAAACCTGCAGCCACCTGGTGTGGGAGACGAGGGCCGTGGGTTCTCGGTATCACGGCATCCCGCATTCCTCCTCCGGGACGCGAGTGCCCCTGGGGGACAGAGGGGGGAGGGCTGCGGCGCAGATGGGAGTTTGTTTTCTCGCCATCTGAGAGCGCTCTGGGAGGTCCTCGCTGGGCACGGGCCGGCAGGTGGTGGCGTGCGCGGGAGGCTGTTCCCCGCCTGTGCTAACTGACCTCTCCCCCTGCTCTGTCCGCAAGCCCAAGGCTAGGACCGGGATAAGTAAGCCTTACAACGTGAAGCAGATCAAAACCACCAACGCGCAGGAGGCGGAGGCAGCGATTCGGTGTCTGCTGGAAGCCAAAGGAGGTGGGTGCTCTCTTGGGCTCTTCTCCGTGGCTAAGGAGAAACAACGGGTCTCTGACAGCGGTCTAGAACATAATTTTTTTTTTCATGTTTCTGGAGGCAGTATTAAATAAAAGTACCCTTTGGCAACATTTTATATAATGACTAAGATTTATTGTCCATTTAAAATTGTATATTCAAAATTCAGTAAATATATAAAAATAATCCTGGGACTCTTAAGCAACATTTAAGGGAAAGACTAAAATAAACAAAAATGAATTTTAAAAAAGGTGAATGCAGCAGGCACTGGGTCATTATGCCGGCTCTGTGAAAAAGAGGCAGTTAACATGTGCGCCCTTATTTCAGGCACTAAATCTACCTTTTAAATCACCAGCAAGAGTGAATAAATTCTTTACTGTCAGGCAGGGAGGGAGCTCTTCACCACCCCACTGCCTTGCTGGTGTTTTGTTCTTCTCTTAACCCGTGTTAACCACCCTCATTTAAAATCATTCATTCAAAATCACTGATAACTAACGAGTTTTGCCTTCGTTCCAGAATCTGTTTTCCTCAGGGAAGATCATACCCTTCAAAAGGACACACGCAATCATAGGCGTCTAATTTGCTTTTAGCCAGTGTATTAACTTCTTTGGAATTCTCCAATAGTATTTAAGGTGGGCGTGAGTTAAGAGGTTGCTAAACACTGTTGGAGGATAATACTGCCACAAATGGTTTTTTTTTTTTAATAAAAAAAAAATAACTAAAACTATGGATGTAACAGCCCAAGTGTCCATCAACTGATAAATGGATAGATATAGATGGGCAAAATCGGGTACATCACACAATGGAGCACTGCTTAGCTCTAACAATAAAAAGAAGGCAGTGCGTAAACATGCTACGTCACAGTGAACCTTGAAAACATTATTATAAGTGAAACCAAGAAAATATAAAAGGCCACATATCCTATGATCCTGTTTTTATGAAGTGTCCAGAATAACCATACCCACAGAGTCAGAAAGTTACTAGTGGTTTCCAGAGAGTGGAAGGAGGAGGGAATGGGAGTTACTGTTAATGAGAATAGGGTTTCTTCTTGGAGTAATGAAAATGTTCTGGAATTAGATAGTGGTAATAGTTATACAACTTTGTAAACATACTAAAAAACACTAATAGTACCTTAAAATTGGTGAATCTCAAGGCATGTGAATTATGTCTCAGTAAAGCTGTTTTAAAACAAACAACAACAAAAAATCCTGGAGATGTAGATGTTAGTACTGGTTTGAAATCTACCCACACTCCCAGCTTAACATTCTCTTGGTTGTGGGCCCAGTGAGATTTTGATGCGTTTCGGATCATCTCCGCTGAGAAAGGTTTGCCTGCAATCTAAGGGCCCCACTGACCCCCTCCCAGACCCCCACGGGCCCTAATCACCGCCCCACCGCAAGCAGCAGAACCTGGGGCCAAACCTAGCCGATCGGTCCTGACACTCCTTAAAGATTTTTTTCTAGAAAAAAGGAAATCCATTGAATTAGTTAATTATCCTTAGGACGTAGATTGTCTGAAGGGTAAATCACCCAGTGGAGTGCCTCATCCTTTACACGTCAGCCATTCGATTTCACGTTTCAGGTGCCCCAGAAGAAGCCCTGCATGCCATGGCCTTGAGGGACAAGGGATCCTCCGCGCTGGAGCCCACAGCAGCGGCGGCCAAGCCGGAGACTCCCCAGGTCCCCCCACTCCTGCCCCGGCGGCCCGCGCCCAGAGTTCCGGCCATCAAGAAGCCAACCTTGAGAAGGACAGGAAAGGTAAAAACCTGGTGGCCTAAACCTCTTCCCGCTAAGTTGCTGGAAGGTCTTGTTAGATAAGAACTGCATCTCACAGCAAAATCCAGGTGACTGGTCTCTCCGTATACATGGTGGCACCAGACAAGCTGCATCTTTGAGGGAAGGCTTGACAACCCCTCTCTCCCGCACATCCCTGCTGTGGCCTTGCTCTGGCTGAGCCGCACAACAGGAGTTTGCTGTCTTTCTGCAGATTCTCCTTGTGACAAGAACAGCTCGGAGGTCTTACACTTCCTAAATGTTCTGCGTCCCCAGAGGGAACCGCCGTGGGATGCATTTCCCCACGTGTCCCAGTATTGCCCGTCTGTGTGTGGTCCGTGTTGTGTGCACATGATTTCACATGTGCAGGTTTTCTTGGCTTTAGGAGAACAATAGCTGACTCCCAGCTAAGCAGTCTCGACAGGCTGCAGGTGGCCTCGGGCTGCTGGAGGTTGCGCAGCTTTCCTCGCCACTTTTCTTGCAGATCGTCTTTTGCTCTCGCTCTCAAGCTTCTCGGCCTTGCTTACTGCTGCAAAGACATGAGTTTGTAAGGACAGTAGCAGCCCAAAGACTGGCACCTATAGACACATCAGGATCTTCCGTTTGATCTCGGTGGTAGTGGCGGACCCTCGGTAATCCTTGTCTGCTGCTTGCCCGCCTCGGCCCCTCGCTCCCGACGGAGCTGGCCTCGTGTTTTCTGGGTTGCTTTTCTGTCCCACTGTGGGTTATTTCCATCTGTCCATTTGCCATGCCTTGTACAAAATGGACCTTTCCCTCCTTATCCCATTCAGACGCTCCTCGACTTACATCCCAGTAAGCCTGTCGTAAGCTGAAAATATTGTTAAGTTGGAGATGCGTTTGATCCACCTTACTGAACACCGTAGCTCAGCCTAGCCTACCCCAGATGTGCTCAGAACACTTATCTTGCCTACAGGTGGGCAGAAGCATCTCACACAAAGCCTATTTTATAATAATAATGAAAGATCCAAATTTGAAGTATGCTTTTCTACTGAACGTGTATTGCATTTGCACCCTCTTAAAATTCAGAAATCATTAAGTCAAATCATGCTAAGTCGGGGACTGTCTGTTTTGTCTTTTTTTTTTTAAAAGCCAGGAGCAGAAATGGATTCATTTTTCCAGCCTGCCACATAGGAGTTAGAGTAAAAGGCTACTGGGGAAGGGATTATTTTTTATAGTTTGTTTTCTAAAGAACCGAAGGAAATATTAAAATGGCGATGTTTAACTACTGTCCTGATAGCCATTCCTATACAAAAGCTTCATTTTTTTCTGTGCAGTTGTTTTGGGTGTGGGGGGGGTTGTGTAAAATTTGAATCATAACCAAGGAAGTGCAGTCCCTGCGTAAAATTTTCCATTCTTCTGTATTTAAATACAAAAGATTCAAGAATAAAGTATATCCATTAGTGCTTCAATTAGCTTAATGCGGTAACATGTTACTTCCCCCTGGCATGGTACAGTCTGTGTAATTATCAGGCCACGCTGCATCCTTAAAGAATGTTTTTCAAAGAGGTTTGCTCTTAATAATGGAAGAGCATAACCCCATTTCCTAAAGTAACAAAACTTTGTCTTAAGTTCTTCACTGTGGCCCTGGTTTTAAAACTCCCACTCATCTCCTGTTGGACATGCTGGTGTGACCTGAACAGTGTGTGTGTTTCACCTGTGCTTTTCCTCACCTGGTCGTGTTTCAGCATCCCAGACATTCTCAAATCTCAAGTTTGCTAGAATGTCAGCTTAGTCTCATCTCTGTTCCTGCTCACCACTGAGTGTTCTCTGAGTCTCAGCTTCCCAAGTGTTGGCCGCTTAGTTACTCTCTCGGTCTTGCCTTTTCTCAGCCCCCGTCACCGGATGAACAGTTTGAGCCGCAGACTGTCCATTTTACAGTTGGGCCCCTGGAGACAAGCCTCGAGACCCCTCTTCTAGCCACAGTCCCTCGAGTCCCTCCTGTTCCCAAACCAAGAACATCTCAGCCTGGGAAAGGTGCAGAGAGGAGGCCAGACAGCGGGAAGCCAGCACCAGACGAAGCCCCTCCCATGGCGGGAGCCAGCGTGCTGCTGCCTCCGGAGGCTCCGTCCCTTGTGCCCAAGGTGCCCCCGAGGAGGAAGAAGTCAGCGCCTGCAGCCTTCCACCTGCAGGTCCTGCAGAGCAACAGCCAGCTTCTCCAGGGTCTCACTTGCAGTGGTGGCGCTGGCGGCAGCGGCTGTCCTTCTGGACTCCAGCCTGATGTGGGTGAGCTCTTTCCACCAGTGGATTTTCTTGGCACTTCACCTGCCACAAGCCCCGAAACTGATGGCACCAAAGTACTGAAGTCAGAGACAGCCTCCCTTCTTGGGGATTGTCAGGATCCCTTCTGGAGCCTTCTCCACCATCCGAAACTATTGAATAATGCCTGGCTCTCCAAGAGCTCTGACCCTTTGGACTCGGGGACCAGGAGCCCCGACAAGGCACACACAGACCCAGTGCAAGTCACTGCTTCAGCTGCTGAGGCGGAGCTGCCACCAGACCATGGGCAAAAAAACTTCAGTCACTGGGTGACAATCAGTGACAAAGACAAGAGGACGGTGTTGCAGGTGTTTGACCCACTGGCAAAAACATGACGGAGCCACTCAGAAGGCCACTCTCTTGTAGAATGTGTACCTTCTGCCTACTGGCATTACTTGACTGGGTCAAAAGAGACATCTATTTAAAGGCACACTGAGAAAACATTTGTGCATCTGTCACTCTTGTGTAGTTTACAAAAATTATGTCTCTTATTCAATAAGATTGTTATTCAGCCACCAAAATATGTTTTATTCAAGACTTACACATTTTACATTTCTTCTTAGGGGAATAGGAAAGTCCTTTTAAATTCAATGTGTGGCTTTTAAGAAAGAAAATCTAACTGTGATAGGACCCAAGAAGTTCTCTCCCACTGAATTCTAAATGATTGTTCGACATGTGTGTGTACGTAGTGGGGATTTTTTCTTTTATTTGTATTTTGTATATTTGAAATAACTTTTTGGTGAGCCACTTGAAGGTTAATACATAAAATAAGGATTACATTGAAAGGGAAGTGGTAGCTGTCCTGGCCCACTTAAACAAGGTTAAAAAAAACTAGGGATGGAAGCAGCAAATAGGTCAACCAAACCACTAGACTATACATTCCCAGGAGCCCTGTGTTTAACTATGTACATGTACGTTAGGCTTCATTATGTGTGAATCCCGTGGGAGTTGGTGTCATAGAGTTTAGGTTCTAAAGTATATACCAGTAGCTTACCCTCAGCGTAAACTAGCCGAAGATTCCCGTCCCGAGTCTTAGACATTGCATGCCCTGTCAATTGCCACAGTCTTACGCCATGCTGTGCTACTTAAACCAATTTTTATCTACCATCTAGTCCTTATTAAATGAAACTTCAAGGATTCTTTTTCCCATTATATTCTATACCCCACAAAAGCACAAAGCGTGAAAACACGTGCTGGCACATGGCATTGATTCTCATTGTTAGAATGTGAAGAATGTTGGTTTTAGCCTGGTCTGCCTGGCTGTAGCTTCAGGAAGGAAAGTAGCACATGTCCCTGTATACAGGACCCCCCCCCCTTGCCCCAGGGAAGCATTTCTGGATTTGCTTGTCCATGTGTTTGTTCAGTTTATTTTTTTGCTTATATAATTTTCCTGCATGTTTTCAGCACCACTTCTCACCTATTCAGTAATTGAAAAAGACATTACCATACTGTTTTATATTTTAAAAGTAGTATTATAAGGTCTGGAATCCACTTGGAGCTGAATTCTTTTTGCTAATGAGTTCACTAGTAAGATCTCATCGTACCACCTGCCACCTTTAGGAGTCTTTCATGTCCGAGAATTGTACAGCAGTGATACCGTGTTACCCCTCACTGGGAAATCCTGTCCTAAGTGCTGAGGTTAGGATGGGGTAAGGATCATCTTGCCTGGGATAGACCACTTTCTCATCACCAATGAGACCTCCGGGACTTCAGAATTAGTTTTCACTGTCACTGTCAACATATATTGCAGATTACTTAAATCTGGGACTCAAAAACAAAACTACATGTAGCTTTCATCTGAAAACTGATAAAAGAAAAATGAATCAGTGACCCACTGAACTAAACAGATAATATGCATGGTTGACCAGTCATAAATGACAATATTTAGGTGATCAGGATGCTTTCAGTGACACTTAAGTACTTTATATAACTTTTCACCTCTAACAAACACAAGAAGTAAATAACATAATCCTTGAAACAGTCAGGGAAAGAAAGTAAGGTGAGCTTCTTGGAGAAGTTAAATGATTTGCCAGGATGCGCATTGCTACTAACAGGTGTAATTAGAGATGAAATTGAAGAATTCTTTGTTCAAAATGCTCTTTTCCCTGTAACCTCTTTTCCCACCAAAAAGGAGCTGAATTTGAAAGCAGATATATGTAACAACCAATCAGAAAAGCAGGAGATAAGTAAGCTCCGCTCAGGGTTGCTTAATACAGTGCTGGGCCTAGGCCTAATTTTTAGGTTTCTTCTTTGTTCTAGATAGCAAATAAATGGTACAGAGAACAGAATTTCTGTTAAGATATCACGTAAGTAGCTCCTAAGAGTGTGACAGTAAGTATTAACACAGAGAATTGTGTTGACTTGAGGAAAGGTGGGTAACAAGAAAATTATGAGTAGTTTAAGAATTGAACAAAGAGGCCAGGCACAGTGGCTCACACCTGTAATCCTAGCATTCTGGAAGGCCGAGGGAGGATTACTTGAGGCCAGGAGTTCAAGACCAGCCTGAGCAAAAAAGAGACCCCATCTCTAATGCAAATAGAAAAATCAACTGGGCGTGGCGGCACACACCTATAGTCCCAGACCCTTGGGAGGGTAAGGCAGGAGGATCACTTGAGCCCAAAAGTTCAAGGTTGCCGTGAGCTATGACCAGGCCACTGCAGTCTAGCCCAGGTGACAGAGTGAGAGACCCTGTCCCAAAGAAAAATTGAACAAATATTATTTGATCATGGGTGTTCAAATTTGTCGAACAATATAGACTAGATTTTGAGTTGGTAATATTTGCAGTTCTCACACTAGAGTTCTCTTACAAAAAAGAAAAAAAAGGACATTCGATTGCCTTGTTTGTTTTTTAAATCAGTGCATGCTACTTGGCAGGTTTCTCGCGTTAGCAGAAGAGTTGCTTAAATAATCTTGACAGTTGGACAGCTGCAAACGTGGAGATTTCATTCTGTGTTGTTTTATTTTTAGTCTATCTTTGATGCTCCTATACAGGACTGTTTATCTTATCACTGCTGTCCTCTGATATGATGCAGTTCACTGCAGAGTGTGTTAGGTGCAGTGGTTTTCAACTCAACATTGTCTCCGTGACCCCTGGAACAGCACAGTCTTCTCAGTCGTCTTGTTGATTTCTTAAGCTTGTTCTAGTAAGTGACTAAAGCTAGGACATCCACCCAAGCAATTCCTATAAAAGTTTAAAGCTGAAGTTTAAGACACTTAATAACATTCTCCCTGGTGTGCATGTAAGTATATACAAAGTCATGTAGTGAAACATTCACTTTATAATGAAGTTATTGCATGGGAAGGAAAGCTGCAAAAATTATTTATTGGGGGACCAGGGATTAATAAAAACCTTGTAACATTTTTTGAAGTGATAATTTCTACTGAAGTTGTACATAATACCTATTAAATGTTTTTGTCTTTTTTTTCCCCCCTAATTGGGCTTGTTTCCTTTCAGCTATGAAGACAACCATGGAATATCTTCTTTGACTAGCCTTCCACCCTAGATCACATGCAATTACTAGTTACTCCTCTGAGTTTTTCTTTTGGTTCATATTTTCAACCATCAAATTAAGTTGAAAAAGTAGAAAAGTAACCAGTTGGTTAAGAATTTGACTTGAATGCTGCTAGCAGGGATCATAGCCATAACATATATAATAACTTTATGCTACATTATCTGTAAGACTTGAGTAATGTTAGAATTCATTTTCAGTGGGATCTTATAGCAAACATATAAAAGCTTGAAATGCTAGCGTGGTTTGAGTACACTACCGCGTTTAGGCAGGAGAAAGGAGTGAACACTCCAAGTTCTGTCTAGATTTGTTCTAAGCTAACTAGTGCACAAAATATAGGTCATAAATGTTTTCTGATGATATTCTGGAATAATAATATATTGATATACTCAATAAATATGGCTAGTCCTTCCTGACCAGTAAGGAGTACTATATTGAATTCACAGCACTGGGACTTGGGGAGGAAGAAAACCACCAGTTGCAGAACCTTCCTTTCCAAAGGTAGTAGGGGAGATGAGTTTAAACTTCATTCTCACAGGGGCTTGTGTTGTTTGCCTGTATGGCACTGGGATAATGAGAGTACAAATGAGAGTAATTAACAGTTAACCCCTATAGGGAAGATTTGAGAGAAGAGTTTTAAGAATTCTTAATTATTTTTTAATTTTTTTAAGTTTATTTTTAGAGCAGTTTTGGGTTCACAGCAAAATTGAGCACAAGTAAAGCGTTCCCATCTACCCTGGCCCCAACACAGGCACAGCCGCCTCCACTATTGATGACCCCAGAGTGGTACATCTGTTAATAATTGATGAACCTACATTGATACATCGTTGTCCACAGTTTACATTAGGGTTCCCTCTTGGTGGTGTACATTCTATGGGTTTGGACAAACGTATCATGAGTGACACGTTATCTGCCATGGTAGAATCATACGGAAGAGTTTCACTGCCCTAAAAATCCTGTGTGCTACACCTGTTCTTCCCTCCCCCATCCCCCAATCCCTGGCAGCCGCTTACCTTTTTACTGTCTCCATGGTTTTGCCCTTTCCAGAATATCACAGAGTTGGAATCATACAATATGTAACCCTTTTAGATTGGCTTCTTTCATTTAGTAATAGGCATTTAGGTTTCTTCCATGTCTTTTCATGCTTGGTAGCTCATTTTTTTTTAGTGCTGAATAGTATTCCATTGTCTGGATGTACCACAGTTTATCATCCACTCATCTACTGAAAAACATCTTGGTTGCCTCCAACTTTTGGCAATTATAAACAAAGCTGCTTATAAACATCAATGTGTGGGTTTTTGTGTGGACATAAATTTTCAGTTCACTTGGGTAAAGTGTGATTGCTGGATCATATAGTAAGAGTATGTTTAGTTTTATAAGAAACTCAAACTGTTTTCCAAAGTGACTATACCATTTTGCATTCCCACCAGCAATGAATGAGAGTTCCTGTTGCTCCACATTTTGCCAGCATTTGGTGTTGTCAGTGTTTTTGGATTTTGGCCATTCTAATAGGTAGGTAGTGGTATCTTGTTTTAATTCGAAATTCCCTAATGACATGATATTTAATATGTTTTTGTATGCTTGTTTGCCATATGTGTATCTTCTTGGGTGAGGTATCTGTTTAGATCTTTGGCCCATTTTTTAATTGGGTTGTTCATTGACTTATTGTTGAGTTTTAAGAGTTCTCTGTACATTTTGAATAACAGTCCTTTATTAGATGTGTTTTGCAAATATTTTCTCCCAGTCTGTGGCATGTCTTCTCATTCTCTTGACATTGTCTTTTGCAGAACAGAAGAATTAAGAATTTGAAAAGTAACAAAGTTGATTTATATATGTAGAAAGGATGTTTGCTGATGGGGAAAGATCATTTCACAGGATTTTATTCTGTGGATAATAGAAGTAGTTGGTAGTAGAAATGCCTAAATAAATCTGTGTGGTAAAGTGGCTGAGATTACAGGTTTTGCCTGGGCCAACAGCAACTCTTCAAAGCATCTGGAACATAGTTTATAATTGATAGAAGGGGTCCAACACCCTCTTCTTGAGGGATAGTTATACTAGTACCATTTATTAAATAACAAACCATTGCTCTTATCTAGCCCAGGCAACAGAATGAGACTATCTCCAAAAAAAAAAAGGAAAGAAGGAAGGAAGAGGAGTAAGGAAGGAAAACATCTTCTTTTAAAAATGTATTTAATATTAAGGTTTGCTTTGTGGCCATGTGCAGGATTGATTTTTGAAGTTGATTTCATCAATATGAAATATTTTTTAGTCATCATAGCATACAAAATTTTGTGTTTGTGTATATGAAAGACAGATTCATTGAATGAATGTGTCAGTTCCACTACACCACATGGGAACTGGTCTTTCTGCAAGGCAGATCTGTGGGGTGGGTAGAGTCTCTAGTTCGAGCTCCAGTGTGATGGCCTCCCACTATCCCCACCAACATTCCTTTGATTTTTGTTGAATAAATGCTTCGCAATTTGTTGTAAGCCTTTTGTTTAATTTCTACAGACTCTGAATGATTGCTTTTGCTAATTTTGACCAGTTTAATAGCTCTCTGTCTGGGGCAGAGATTTCCCTGATCTCCTCATATGGCTGTTCAGAATTCCCACTCTGGGCTCTGTGTTCTGTGCCATTGGTCTACTTGTCTATCACTGTGGCAGTACAGCATTGGTCTTATTTAACTCTGATATCTGGCAGAACAAGCCCTCCCACCATATTCTTTTTCTTTAAGAGTATCTTGCGGCACGAGGATCACTTGAGGTCAGGAGTTTGACATCAGTATGAGCCAAGGGTAAGACCTGATCTCTACCAAAAAATAGAAAAAAGTAGCTGGGCATGGTGGCAACGCCTATAGTCCCAGCTACTCAGGAGGCTGAGAAAGGAGGATCGCTTGAGCCCAGGAGTTGGAGGTTGCAGTGAGCTACAATCACACCACTGCACTCTATCTGGGGTGATAGAGGGAGACTTTTTCTCAAAAAAAAAAAAAAAAGAATTGAACAAAGAGGCCCCAGGCACAGTGGCTTCACACAACCTGTAACTCCTAGCCATTCTGGAAGGCCGAGGGAGGATTACTTGAGGCCAGGAGTTCAAGACCCAGCCTGAGCAAAAAAGAGACCGCATCTCTAATGCAAATAGAAAAAATCATGGCGCGTGGCGGCACACACCTATAGTCCCAGACCCTTGGGAGGGTAAAGGCAGGAGGATCACTTGAGGCCAAAAGTTCAAGGTTGCCGTGAGCTATGACGAGGCACTGCAGTCTAGCCAGGTGACAGAGTGAGAGACCTGTCCCAAGAAATTGAACAAATATTATTTGATCATGGTGTTCAATTTGTCGAAAATATAGACTAGATTTTGAGTTGGTAATATTTGCAGTTCTCACACTAAGTTCTCCTTACAAACAAAGAAAAAAAAGGACATTAAATTGCCTTGTTTGTTTTTTAAATCAGTGCATACTACTTGGCAGGTTCTCGCGTTCAGAAGAAGTTGCTTAAATAATCTTGACAGTTGGACAGCTGCAAACGTGGAGATTGCATTCTGTGTTGTTTATTTTTAGTCTATCTTTGAGCTCCTATACAGGATGTTTATCTTTATCATGCTGTCCTCTGATATGAATGCAGTTCCACTGCAGAGTGTGTTAGGTGGGCAGTGGTTTTCAACCAACATTGTCTCCCGTGACCCCTGGAAGCAACACAATCTTTCTCAGTCGTCTTGTTGATTTCTTAAGCTTGTTCTAGTAAGTGACTAAAGCTAGGACATCCGCCAAGCAATTCCTATAAATTTAAAGCTGAAGTTTTAAGACACTTAATAACATTCTCCCTGGTGTGCATGTAAGTATACAAAGTCATGTAGTGAAACATTCACTTTTATAGTAGTATTGCATGGGAAGGAAAGCTGCAAAATATTTATTGGGGACCAGGGATTAATAAAAACCCTGTAACATTTTTTGAAGTGATAATTTCTACTGAAGTTGTACATAATACCTATTAAATGTTTTGTCCTTTTTTTTCCCCCTTAATTGGGCTTGTTTCTTTCAGCTATGAAAGAAACATGGAATATCTTCTTTGACTAGCTTTGACTGCCCTAGATCATGCAATTACTAGTTATCCTCTGAGTTTTTTCTTTCGGTTCATATTTTTACCATCAAATTAAGTTGAAAAAGTAGAAAAGTAACCAGTTGGTTAAGAATTTGACTTGAATGCTGCTAGCAGGGATCATAGCCATACATATATAAACACTTTATGCTACATTACTGTAAGACTTGAGTAATGTTAGAGTCATTTTCAGTGGGATCTTATAGCAAACATATAAAAGCTTGAAATGCTACGTAGTTTGAGTACACTACCGCGTATAGGCAGGAGAAAGGAGTGAACACTCCAAGTCTGTCTAGATTTGTTCTAAGCTAACTAGGTGCACAAAATATAGGTCATAAATGTTCTCTGATGAATATTCTGGAATAGTAATATATTGATATGCTCATAAATATGGCTAGTCCTTCCTAACCAGTAAGGAGACTATATTGAATTCACAAGCACTGGGACTTGGAGAGGAAGAAAACCACCAGTGCAGAACCTTCCTTTTCATGGTGGCGCATGCCTGTAGTCCCAGCTACTTGGGAGGCTGAGGCAGGAGGATCGCTTGAGCCCAGGAGTTTGAGGTTGCTGTTAGCTAGGCTGACGCCACGGCACTCACTCTAGCCTGGGCAACAAAAGTGAGACTCTGTCTCAAAAAAAAAAAAAAAAAAAAATGCTGATTATAGGCATCCTTGTGTTATTCCTGTTTTCAAAGGGAAAGTGTTAATATTTTTAACATTAAGTATGATGTTAATATTTTTTTAGATATTTATTAAATTAAGGAAATTCTCTTCCTGGCTTGCTAAATTTATCTTTTGCATGAATGGTTGAATTTTATCAAAGATATTTTTGAACATATTGAATGATTATGGCTTTTCCTCCTCGTGTTAATATGGTGAATTACATTGCTCAGTTTTCCAATGCTAAGCAATCTTGTATTCTGGGTATAAATGCAATCTGAACAGATTATATTATCCGTTTAAACATTGCTGGATTTAGTTTGTCAGTATTTTTGCTTAGGGATTTTGCAACTTTGTTCTTAAGTAAGAATGTCCTGTAGTTTTCTCTTTTTTATATTGTCTTTATATCGTTTGGTATCAAAGTTTTGTTGAAATCATAAAATGAGTTAGCGAGTACACTCTTTTCTGTTAACTGGTAGAATTTGATAATATTGGAACTATTTACTTAAACTTTTGGCAGCACTCACCAGTAAAGTCAACTGGGACTATGGTTTCCTTGTGAGATTTTTAAATCACTGATTCTAGTTTTTAATAAAGGATTGACTAGTCATGTTTTCTACTCATGGGCAAGCTGGGTAAGCTATATTTTCCTTGGAATTCTCTATTTCATTTAAAATTTAATAATATTGGCCTATAAGTATTTATGTACATTATCTTATGTCTTAATGTGTAAATATGTGGGGCGAGAGTAGTTGAGGTAGGCCTGTGAGATCAGTTGTTTTTTTTATGGAGCCAAGTCTCTAAGATAGGGGTTATAAGAGAACGTCTTTCTCATTTTTTGTTACCTCAAGAACTCTTAAATACCAATATCTGGGGCTCTCACCTTTCTCTTCTGGGTGTTGACGTCTGGGTCTCTTGTGGTGCAGTATGGAGATCTTCTTTACTCTAGAGAAGCCATTTATCTCAGGAAACCTGTAGAAGAAACCTGTCGCAAAAATCTTGCCAAAAAGCGTCTAGCAAAAATGTCTTGTCAGAATCCTGCCGACTACACCAAACTGTGGGGCAAGAGTAGTTGAGGCAGGCCCTTGAGGAGATCAGCTGTTCCTCCTCACAGAGCCAAGTCCCTAAGATAGGGGTCGCCACAGAGGATAAGGAAATTGACAGGCAACAGAGAGAAATAAAAGAATATACAGAGACTAAGGTATAGCTTATAGTTTTATGATATATATACATGAAGATCAGATATAACACAGTGGGAAGTTTTAGGGCAATGGCAGATCTCTATAACTGCCAGCAATATCGTTAGATTCAAACAGGTTTTTATAATCACAGACATCAATTATCAGTTGTCAGGGTAACATTTTTATATCAGGGAATGTAGTTATTAAGGGATATAGGTAGTGGGTTAGGGTCAAAAGTCTTCTCAAGGGGCTTCTAATCTATCTAGGTGAACAAACAGGTATGAAGTCTTTTAGGGGTTAACTTTTAAGAGGTAGTTGTCAATTAACAAAGGTAAAACAAAAGAGGTATAGTGACTCAATATATCTTTGATTAGTTATGGTGGACTTAAAGGTAGAGAGGAGAGAGCAGGAAGCCCATCTCTAATAAAACAGGTTGTTTATGACCACCAGGGTGCTTCTCTGGGCAAAGTGTACTCATTGTCTCTGGCTTTCATCTTGTGGGGCATGTTTGTCTTGTCTTTCAAGACACAGGGAAGCTCACGGATTTTGAGATACCAGGAAGCCTTTTTGGAAAACCTCTCTACCGGAGATATGAGAGCTCTCTCATGATAGCAGCCTCTAATAAGTGAACCATTGAGTCTACACATTTCTTCAGGGCAAAACCCTATAAACTCTTGTTTTTGTCTTTAACATAGTAATATTGGGTTATATAATAAAATAATGGTCTTATGAGCCACATCTCATTAATTCTTCAATCATTTTTTCTCAACATAAATATACAAATTAAATGTATCTTTTCATCCCTAATATTGCTAATTTGTGCCTTTTCTGCCTGATTGCGCTCACTTGAAGTTTATCAATTTTATTAGTCTTTTCAAATAATCAACTTCTAGTTTTGTTGAGACTTTTTTTTTTCTATTTCACTGATTTATGTTCTTTTTAAATTTCTTCCTTCTATTTTCTTTGGCTTCATTTCACCATTCATTTTCTAACTTCTTAATATGGATACTTAGTTCATTTGCCCATATGATCACATTTGAAAAGACTGTGTATTCTCCATTTCTTGGATATAGTACAGTGCTCTGAATATTCAGTGAGTAAATTGGAAATGTAGAAATCAGGTAGTTCAAATCTTATATTTTCTTTTTTCTGGTTTGCTTCTTCTATCAATACCAAGAGATGTGTGTTAAAATCTCCTGTGGTGTCTTTTTGTAGTTTCTCCATTTTTTCATATTAATTGAAGCCATGTACTAACATTCATATACAATTAAAGATTGCCATTTTCCTAGTGAATTTAATCTTTTATTGCTATGAATTGACAGTTCTAATAATTCTTGCTACCAAAAGTAGTTTTGTCTCATACAGCTACACCTGCTGTCTTTTGGTATTTGCATGATGTGTCTCTTCCATCTTTTTATTTTTACTTTATATATATATATATATATATATTTATATTTTGGCATATTATGGGGTAGATTTTAAGGTTTTAATAAATGCCCTTTCCCCCTTACCCCAAGTCTGAGTCTCCAGCATGACCATCCCAAGAGTGCACATCTCACTCATTATGTATGTATATACCTGCCCCTCCCCCTGCCCAATACCCAATTACTGTAGTACCTATGTGTCCACATAGGTGCTGCTCAGTTAATACCAGTTTGCTGGTCAGTATATGTGGTGCTTGTTTTTCCATTCTTGGGATACTTCACTTAGTAGTATGGGTTCCAGCTCTAACCAGGAAAATATAAGATGTGCTATATCACCGTTGTTTCTTAGAGCTGAATAGTACTCCATGGTATACATATACCACATTTTATTAATCCACTCTTGGATTGATGGGCACTTGGGCTGTTTCCACAGCCTTGCAATTATGAATTGTACTGCTATAAACATTCGAGTGCAGGTGTCTTTTTTGTAGAGTGTCATTGGATCTTTTGGGTAGATGCCCAGCAGTGGGATTGCTGGATCAAATGGTAGATTCACTTGTATTGCTTTAAGATATCTCATATTGCTTCCACAGAGGTTGAACTAGTTTGCAGTCCCACAGCAGTGTAGGAGTGTTTCTCTCTCCGCATCCACGCCAGCATCTATTGTTTGGAGACTTTTTGATAAAGGCCATTCTCACTGGAGTTAAGTGATATCTCATTGTGGTTTTTGATTTGCATTTCCCTGATGATTAGAGATGTTGATCATTTTTTCATGTTTGTTGGCCATTCTTCTGTCTTCTTAGAAAGATTTCTGTTCAAGTCCTTTGCCCACTTTTTAATAGGGTTATTTGATTTTTTCTTGCTGATTTTTTGAGTTCTAAGTATATTCTAGTTATCAGCCCCTTATCGGATGCATAGGATGCAAAAATCTTCTCCCATTCTGTAGGTTGTCTGTTTACTTTCACTACTGTTTCTTTGGCTGTGAGAAGCTTTTAGTTTGATCATGTCCATTTATTTATTTTTTTGTGCTGTGATTGCCTTTGGGGACTTCTTCATAACTCTTGCTAGGCCGATGTCTAGGAGAGTGTTCCAACATTTCCTCTAGAATTCTAATAGTTTCATACCTTAGGTTTAAGTGGTGTATCCAGCATGAGTTGAGTTTGTGAGAGGTGAAAGGTGTGGGTCCTGCTTTAGCCTTCTACAGGTGGCTATCCGTTTTCCCAGCACCATTTATTGAAAAGGGTTCTTTCCCAGCGTATGTTTTTGTCTGCTTTGTCAAAGATTAGATGGCTATATGAGGATGGTTTTATATCAGGATTCTCAGATCTGTTCCACTGGTCAATGTTCCTATTTTTGTGCCAATACCGGATTGATTTAATTACTACAGCTTTGTAGTATAGTTTGATATCTGGTATATTAATACCTCCCATTTTGTTTTTGTTGCCTAGAATTGCTTTTGATATTCAGGCTCTTCTTTGGTTCCATACAAAGCGTAAAATTATTTTTTCTATATCTGTGAAGAATACTGATGGGATTTTAATAGGTATTGCATTGAATCTGTAGATCAGTTTGGGTAGTTTCTTCCATCTTTTTAATTTTGAACCTTTCTGAACACTCATGCTACAGATGTGTCTCTTAGAAACAGCACACAGTTGGTGTTCTCTCTTATCCAGCCTGACATATCTTTTAACTGCGACATTTAATTCATTTACATTTAATGTGACCATTGCTATCTTTGGGTTTTAATTTCCCATGCCACTTTGTGCTTTCTCTCTGTATCATCTGTTCTTTCTTTTCCCCTCCATTTGTACCACCTTTTGGGTCTTTATCATTCCCCTTTTTAACCTTTCCTAGTTTGTAAGTCATTATACACTATTTTGGTACTTTTATTCGTTATCTTAGAAATTACATGCATCATTAAATCCTCAAAGTCTAGTGTTAATCATTTTTGTACCTTCCTCCTGAATACTGCAACAACCTTGGAGCACTTCAACATTTGCATGCTATAGTTGCTGTGTATTTTAATTTCATATATTCTAACACCCACCCAAAACATTATTGTTGGCCAGGCTTGGTGGCTCACACCTATAATCCCAGCACTCTAGGAGGCCAAAGCAGGAAGATCGCTTGAGGTCAGGAGTTTAAGATTAGCCTGAGCAAAAGTGAGACCCGTCTCTACTAAAAATAGGAAAAATTAGCCAGCCAACTAAAAATAGAAACAAAAAATTAGCCAGGCATGGTGGCAAGCGCCTGTAGTCCCAGCTACTCAGGAGGCTGAGGCAGGAGAATCACTTGAACACAGGAGTTTGAGGTTGCTGTGAGCTAGGCTGACAACACGGCACTGTAGCCCAGATGACAGAGCGAGACTCCATCTCAAAAAAAAAAAAACAAAGAAACATTATTCAGTAAAATCAATTTCATTTAATTTGTCCAAATAGTTACCTCTTTTTTCACTGCATTTTTTCCCTTAAATCTCAGTCCCTCTAGCTGGGTCATTTGCCTACTGCTTGATGTACACCCTTTAACATTTTCATTAATTAACGTCTGGTGGTAGTAAACTCTGTTTTACTTTACATAAAAATGTATATTTTAGCTTAATATTTTAAATATTTACTATTTTTACTGGATGTATAATTCCAGGTTGGCACATTGACAGTATCATTCCAATGTCTTCCAGCTTCCATGGGACTGATGACTTCTCATAAGCAGCAATTTTAACTGTTGTTTTGAACTGTTTTCCTCTAACTACTTCAAAGGTTTTCCTCCTGTCGTGGCTTTTCTGCAGCTTTCCCTATGCTCTATATAGATGTGGATTTATTTTTATTTGCTTGCTTTGAGTTAGTTAACTTGTTGGATCTGTGAGTTGCTGTCTTTTATTAGTTCTGGAAATCTCCAACCATTATCTCTTGAAATACTGCCTCTGAAACATTCTTCTTCTCTCCTTCTGGTACTCTAATTAAACATGTGATACTCTTTTTTTCTTTTTGAGACAGAGTCTCGCTATCACACCAGCTAGGGTGCAGTGGCATCATCACAGCTCACTGCAACCTCAAACTCTTGACCTCAAGCATTCCTCCTGCCTCAGCCTCCTAGAGTGCTAGGATTACAGGGTGAGCGACTGCGCCCAGCTGTGACAGCCTTTCTTCTCTCTTTACTTGCATGTGTCCTTAGCCTCTTCTGTATTTTCTACCGCTAGCCTCTCTGTGCTACATTCTGAATATTTTTTCTGACCTCTCTTCCAATTCACTGATTTTCTTCAGGTGTGTACAATCTAATTTCAGCTATTTTTGTCTAGAATCTATTTTTGGTACTTTTTAAAATCTAAGTCACGGCCGGGCGCGGTGGCTCATGCCTGTAATCCTAGCTCTTGGGAGGCCGAGGCGGGCGGATTGCTCAAGGTCAGGAGTTCAAAACCAGCCTGAGCAAGAGCGAGACCCCGTCTCTACTATAAATAGAAAGAAATTAATTGGCCAACTGATATATATATAAAAAAAAAATTAGCCGGGCATGGTGGCTCATGCCTGTAGTCCCAGCTAGTCAGGAGGCTGAGGCAGAAGGATCGCTCGAGCCCAGGAGTTTGAGGTTGCTGTGAGCTAGGCTGACGCCACGGCACTCACTCTAGCCTGGACAACAAAGCGAGACTCTGTCTCAAAAAAAAAAAAAAAAAAAAATCTAAGTCACTATATAGTTTTCTGTTTCTGAAGATGTTTCAACGTTGAAAACAAACATAGTAAGCATAATTGTTTTATCATCTGATACGCCCATCCCAATTGTGTGGGTTTTTTTTTGTTGTTGTTTTTTTTTTATGTGGGAGGCTGTTTGCTGAATGTTCCCATTCATGGTATCTTATATCCTTGTATGCTTGGTAATCTTTGACTATTCACTGATTATGGCATTTGAAAAATTATTTGTAGGAATAATTTAAGGATTGAGATGAATGTATCTTCCTCCTTGGCTTTTGGCAGATGCCTGGGGACACTACCAGTCTGGGATCCTCTAAATTCAAGTTGCAGGCTTAAGATTCCCCGAGTCATCCAAGAGTCATGAATACATGACCCCTTCTGGGTCACTCTTATTTTGTATACAGCCATTTGCAGTCCCAGCTTAACATATGTGTGAGGCTATCAGACTCCCATGGCAAGCCCTGGACTGACTGCTATCCCCCACCTTGGAAGTTTGCCAGAACTACAGCTCCATTTCTTGGTGGTTTCTTTTGGCTCTACAAATGACCTCAAAGTGGGACTCTGCACAAAGATACCCAGCTAGCGAGGGTAAGTAGGATCAGATATATAATTCCTGCTCTATGCCCCAGACTCTGTGTTGGAAGAAAACCTTTTAAAAATTGCCCAGGCCAGGCATGATGGCTAATACCTATAATCCCAGCACTTTGGGAGGCTGAGGTGGAAGGATCATTTGAGGCCAGGAGTCAGAGACCAGCCTGGGCAACAGAGCAGGGCCCTGTCTCTACAAAATTAGAAAATTAACCTGATGTGGTGGCACATGCTTATAGTCCCAGCTTGCTTGGGAGGCTGAGACAGGAGAATTGCTGGAGGCCAGGAGTTTGAGTTTGCCTTGAGCTATGATAATGCCACTGTACTCCAACTCTGGGCAACAGAGTAAATCCCTGTCTCTCAAACAAACAAAAATATCTGTATACAAAAACTGATATACAAATGATCATGGCAGCATTATTCATAACAGACAAAAAGTAGACAGAACCAAGATGTCCATCAACTGATGAACGTATAAAGAAATGTGGCATATCATACAATGAAATATTTTTGGCCATAAAAAAGAATGAAGTACTGACACATGCTATATCATGGATCAACCTTAAAAACATGCTAATAGAAGGTGGCCACATGAGATTCCATTTATATGAAATACCCAGAATAGGCAAATCCATAGAGAAAGTAAATTAGTGTTTACCAGGGCCTGGGGAAAGAGGACTGCTAATAGGTATAAGGTTCTTTTTGGGATGATGAAATGTTCTGAAATTTAGACAGCAATGACGGTTGCACAACTCTGTGAATATACTAAAAACCAATGAATTGTATAATTTAAAAGAGTGAATTTTATGATATGTGAATATCTCAATAATCCTATTACTCAAAAGAAAAAAAAAATCCATCAACATGATTTCCTATTTTTCACATGCTAGAGGTCAATAAATACCATTTCCAAATGAGCAAAAGAGAAGTATCACTAATACATATAATGGCTTAGAATAGTTTTATTTCATCTTTTATCAATAATGGATTAGCTCCTTTATCCTTATCTAGGACAAATTACAAGCACAGGTTGCTACAATCTGGAAAGAATTACTATAAGGTAAAAATTTTTTTTAAAAGATTTGTTCTCAGCAATATGAAATGGAAAGATGCAAGGAACTGACCCATACATGAGAACAGGTCTAACAAAGTTAATAGTAATAATGTGTTAAACAAATGTATAACTGAAAGTTAAACAGAATCTTTTATTTTATAGTTTATTCTCTCCATTTTAGGTCTCTCCTAATGGCACTTTTATGGTCAGTGAACAGTGGCTTGCCCTTTGGAACCTGCCAGTGCTCCTCCAGGATGCGCCAAGATGGTAGCACATGGAAAGGGGGACTCCAGCCACTGCAGCTTTGCTCCCAGCCATGAGCAAACCATAAGTGGCACAGAAGGGATTTCAGAGGAACTCAATCTAGCCCTTCCTTCTGTGATTGCCAATTTTGTGCTGGTGCTTACAGTGCTCCACTGGAGACAATATTCTGTTGTCTGCAACACACTCCAGACCACGTTGATGCCATAATGACTATATTTGCATGATTGCTTAGAGCTTAAAAAGAGAAAGAACACCAAGTTTCTTGCACTGACTTCACATATGAAAAACGGGAGACAAGTGTTAGTTTTCAAGGTCTTTGGCTAAAGTTTCACGGATGAATCGTAAAGTACGTTGATATAAAAAAGCATCTTTTCTCTTTGGCTTACAAATATTCAAATGGTTAACATCCACAGGAATTAGCTCTCCGATGCCTGAATCTGAAGAAAACAAAAATGTCAATAAACTAAAGTAAAAATACATGCTTCCCCGTTGTCAATATCAAAAGAGGCCAAATAAGTAGTTCTAAATATTGCTTTGGTTATGATACAGGACTCTTAGAAGATACAGAAACTTAAAAGTTTGTAGCTTAAAACTACATTTGATGAACCTTGCAAGAATAGATTCTCAGTAAGTATAATCATAGTGTTACGCTCTTCACAAATTTTCCATATGTGTTCTGGCCTACTTCTAATAGTGAGCAGAGCCTGAGCACCAGCATCTTCAAAACCTTATACCTGCAGGTTTCTGCTAAATAACCCCATAGAGTTTATATTATTAACTTCATAACGAGCTCCCCTGTCCTGATGAAAAGAATGGGAATGTCTCACATGGGATCCATTCTACACCCAAATCCCCCTGCACTCCACCAGGGAAAGATGATTTAGTGCTGGACTGCTTGAGACACTTGGAAGGTTTCTAACATTTCAATCTAACGAAGTCCACCTGGATGGAAGTAACAAGAGGCACCTAGGTGAGGAATGTGGTGGTAGTTATGAAGGAAGAAGAGCCTCTTGGTGATAGAATTAGGACAAGGCTATGTCACTATAAGCAGCTGGTCTATGAGATTAACTTTGCATTTGCTTCAAGCTTCCAAAGTCCTTTTTTTAAACATCTGGCAGCTGTTGTTTGAACTTTTCCAGTTCTTTAAATAGTAACTCCTGACCTACAGCATATTACTTTGAGGTAAAATTTTCTTAGGATCCACTACAAAGTAGTATTTTTCATTTCATTTAGGTAGTATATAATGAAATTAGGACAAAACACCATGTGGACTGAAGCCTCATCTGGCAGGCACACCAGACAGCCCCCATCTCCAGTGGCAGAGCTCACAGTACAGCTGGGTGCCCCCAGGTCAGCACAGAACCCAGCCTCAGAGGTGATAAGGGTTCCCAGAGACAACAAGCAAGTTGAGGAAGTGGCTGAGAAAAGATCAATTGAAATAGTGAAATGTATGGAGTATCTACCATGAAGAAAGTGAAGATTTGGGCTCCACCCTGAAAGAGCCTATAATGCATTACAATACACTGTAGTATCAGGTATTGGCCATTTCCCTTGACTCTAGAATTATGAAGAAAGAGATTGTACATTAACACTGCTTGCATATTCCACATAAGCTCCCACATCTTTAGTTGATTATTTTAAGGTTTCTACAAGTAACTATCTGTTAAATGCCCCTTTCAATGCAGGTGATAGAAAGCTTTGTATTCCTACTTTAATACACTAGAGTTCACTGTTGATGCCTAACTTAAGAGTTAGCTAATTAACCTTTGTCATCTAATCAGTTAAATAAAGGGAAGGATAATGCCAAGGTTGTATGTTTGCAGAAAAATTTTAATCTATGGCTGAAAGAATAGAATTCTAATCTAGATCTTCATAAAACTATCTCCTAGAACTGAGACACTAGATATAAAAGTTGACACTTACAATCAAATGCTAGGTACAATCAACTAAGCATCTAATGGCCAACAAGTTTCAAAAGAGTTAAATACCTGCTGATTCCACGGTCACCACGTGGAGTTTAATCATCCTCCCAATATAGGTTGGTAGAGTTTCTACAAAATTCAGCACCTGGAAGTTTTTGTCTTTCGCAAACTCCAGAAAGTCATCCTTAGTGTTTTAAGAGCAGAGAATCCTGTAAGATATAAAGAACAAGATGTGACAATTCCTGTTACCCAATCATAATAAGTGCAATTTAATCTTTAAATTAGAGAGGAACATAGAATGCTGATTCAATATGGCGGCTTGAATATACATGCTTATATCTCTCCTGCAAGAGCTATTAAGCATTCAAGGAAAGAAGGCTAATTCAACAAAGACTTGAGAAGCCACGTTACTCAGAGATTTTGATCACACTCCAGCTGATTAGGAAGCAGTATCGCACGGCAGCTGGGAGGTATAGAGCGCCAGCGTGGTGATGCTGGCGACCCTACGCACCGGTAGAAGCCGAGGCGGAGAGCGGGTCGGCACAGAGCACACCCTGGCGCCACCGGCTCATCTCAAAGTAAAGGGGCTAATCAAGCGGAGGCAGCGGGAGGGAGGTGCTGACCGACAGCGAGAGAGGGAGTCTATAGAGTGTGGAAGAAGAAAAGAATAGAGTTAAAAACGAATCAGGAAAAACTGTGTGGAAATAAATCTGACTTTCAATTGAAAGTTTAAAATAATCAAAAAAAAATCAAAAAAATTAAAAAAAAAAAACAAAACAAAAGTTCTCCATAAGGACAAGGAGAATATAATCAAAATGAAGGCTTGGTATATTAAGCTCAAGCCAGAGTCCAATTCGTTAATAGGTGTTCGAGAGAGAAAAATGCTTATCAATCAAAGAATATATGCTTAATTAATTGGTTAAAATATTTATATATACACACACACACAGCACATAGTATGTAGTATTTTTTGTGGAGAGAGGTGCACTGGTTCCCCTGCGGTAGAGGCAGTCATCATAGCTCACAGCCACCTCAAACTCTTCGCTCAGCATCCTCCTGCGCTCAGCCTCGCCCAATGCTAGGTGATACAAGCATGAGCCACCATCACCAGCCTTCATTATATTATATTGATGATTTTCAATACTCTATTGGGGAAAAAAGCAGGTTGCTTGATAATTTGAATCGTAAAAGCAAATGTAGGTGCTAATTGTAAGATGTTAAGGATAATTTAAATAGGGATACTGGTGGAGAGTGGTTAAAGACAAAGGATCAAGAAGTCAACCAAACCAAAATTTCCATCAATCTCAGAAATATATCAAAGCAATAAACAATATATTCAAGGAAGGAAACTTTGGTTTTTGCTTTCCTTTTGTTATAACTGATTGTTAAACACCGCGATCCTTGTGACAAAAGTATTACCCTTGCTGAGTTCTTTGACTTCCAAAGAAGGAAAGAGAAGATACCGAACATTAACAGAGTATTCAGCCAAATGTGATCCATGATGAGTGACACTATAAAAAATTATTCCTCTGGTATTGTTTATAACAGTACTCATTTCTGGCTTCTTAGAGGCTTCCAACAGCATCTTTTTGACAAGAAGACCTGGCCACAGAGAAAGAAAACCAATGCATAAGTTATTTTCCTTCCCTCTATTAATCTAAAAAAAAATGCAAAATAAGAAGTACATAAAGAGAGATGCTTTCTGTACAGTATAATACAATAATTCTCTGTACAGTAGTACAAGAAACAGACTTAAAATATTAACACTTGGTAATAGTCCTGATCCTCTAGAATTTATAGTACAAGGCTACAAAAAGGTAAGATTCTAGAAACTCATTTGTAGGGTAGATACTTATATCACAGGATCTCCAGTCTCGCAGAAGGAATGTGAGGCACTGCCTGAGCTGGGCACTCCTGCATGGCATGAATATGCGGTGGCCAGTCTTCCCTGCCTGTCATAACAGTCCGCTAATGACCACCCTTTTAGGACAGCACTAATATTCAAAAATACACGGTAACATAGCTTCTATGGGAACTGCACCTAGGAAGCCACCTTCTCTTCCATCCTCCTAACCCAAGGTTTAGAACCAATAGTGAAATGCAGAGATCACATAGATCAAGGGTCCTCAAACTTTTTAAACAGGGGACTAGTTCACTGTCCCTCAGACTGTTGGAGGGCCGCTGGAGAGTACAGCACACATTCCACACATGCGCACTGTGGGCCCGGGGACGCCTGACATAGATGATGACAGTGGGTCTCTGAGGCCACAAAGGTCTATATCCATCTTTCTTGCAGAAAAAGCTCCAGCTCAGAGTTGGCAATCTTCAGCGTTTCATCACATTAACTAGGCCAGGGGCTGCAGAAAGGCCATCTGCCAAGTGGATGGTGAAAATTTGGAACTGGAGGGGCAGAGGATGCAGCTCAATAAGCAAACACTAGGACCCCCAAGAACAGACACGCAATCAAACCTCTACTCAGCAGGCCTGGCCTGGCATAGGCAGGCACCAGGGGGCTGGGGCTGTGGGCACCCAAGCAACAAGGGAGCAGGGAGAAAGAAAGGAAGCACCTGTGGCCATCCAGGAATACTGAGGGATGTTTACAAGTCAGGCTTATATGAACCAGGCATTGCTTCTGATGTTTCTTCATTACTACATGAAAGCACTACATTATCAAACCCCTCTCTCTCTTATATGGTTTGTTGTAAGTTATCCCCTTCCAGAAAAATAAATGACATGGAAGGAGAGTAGCAATTTTAAAACTCCTAGCCATAGCCAGAAACAATTTTTTTGGGAAAAGGGGAGCTATTAAGTAAAACAGAGAGATGCAGTAACTTTAGGTCGGCCACAATGGCTGCCAATAGGCCTCACAACAGTCAATTTGCAAAAAGGAAGCCACACTTACCTCCCATGCTATGTGATACCCAAATCAGTGGCCTATCCCCCACACCAGCAGCTCTGAGCTTCCTAAGAAATTCGTTGCTTCTGAATTCAACTGGACTTATCTGAAGAAACAAAAAAACAGTAGGCAAAACAGGAAGCTGTTGATGCCCCAATTTTTCAGTGACTCTGATTAGTCAGAACTCTTGAGACCAGTCCTACATACTACAGTATTGGAGTTAGGATGCCCTTATTCTCCTCCACTGAATTTCTAGAAATTGTCCAATCTCTCTTTGTCAACTATTCACTTTGCAGTAATTAGAAAAGTGCTAAGCCCAGACAGACCGTTTTCATCTTACTAAACAAACAAGCCATTATTTGAGCACTACATATTTTTTGGCATTTTTACAGGTCAAACGCTCCATCTCACCCCACTGTCCCCACCACCTTAGGATGTGGATTCCTTTCTCATCCCAGGGCCTGAAAATGAAAGCATCACTAAAATATGCTGTCCCTTTTGTGATTTTTAAGTCCTACCATGTATTATGCAGCAATATTAAGCTTTCATATTTTGTTTATTATTTAGAAATGTTACAAGGACACTGAGAAACAAAAAAAAAAAAAAAAAAATAGAATGCTGAAGCTATTAAATCAGAGAATTCAAATGATCTTTTTTTTTTTGGAGACAGAGTCTCACTCTGTTGTCCGCTAGAGTGCCATGGCATCAGCTAACTCACACCCCAAACCCTGGCTGGAGCGATCCTTCTGCCTCAGCTCCCGAGTACTGGGACTACAGACATGTGCCCACCAGCCCGCCAATTTTTTCTATATCATTTCCTACGTTGGGCCATATAAATAACATCTATTTTTTTTATTTTATTTTTATTAATTTTTATTTTTTTTTTTTTTTTGAGACCAGACGTCTCACTTTATAGTCACTAGGCTAGAGTAGTGCCGTGGCGTCACCTAGCTCCACACAACTCAGACCTCCTGGCTCAACGATCTTCTGTCTCAGCCTCCCGAGTAGCTGGGATACCAGGCATGCGCCACATGCGGTAATTTTTCTATATAATTAGTTGGCCATATAGTTCTTTCTATTACAGTAGAGACGCGGTTCGCTCTGCTCAGGCTGGTTTGAACTCCCGACCTCGGCGAAATCCGCCTCGGCCTCCTTCCCCAGAAGCAGATACGAGGCTGACCACCGCGCCCGCCAATATATTCTATTTTTTAAGACGAGAATGGGTCTTGTTCTTTTTCAGCTGTCAAAACTCCGCGAAGCTCAAAATGATCGCTCGCCTCAGCTCCCAGAGTGCTAGGATTACAGGCATGAGCCACCGCGCCTGGCCCAAAGTGATTTTTTTTAATTTTAAAAATAAATATATAATTTTTAAGCGTATTATGGGGGTACAAAAGTGAATTTTGTTTTGTTTTGTTTTTTTTTTGAGACAGAGTCTCGCTTTCCTGCCTAGGCTAGAGTGAGTGCCGTGGTGTCAGCCTAGCTCACCAGCAACCTCAACTCCTGGGCCAATAGCGATCCTGCTGCCTCAGCCTCCGAGTAGCTGGGATACCGCACGAGCCACCCATGCCCAGCTGATTTTTATATTATATATATTAGTTGGCCAATTAATTTCTTTCTATTTTTATGGTAGAGACGGGGGTCTCGCTCAGGCTGGTTTCGAACTCCTGACCTTGAGCAATCCGCCCGCCTCGGCTTCCCAGAGTGCCAGGATTACAAGCGTGAGCCACTGCGCCCGGCCTCAAAAGTGATTTTTAAACAAAAATGGAACTTAAAAACTATCAGGTCTGATAGTTTAAAACTGTTTATCTGTAGATAAGTATCTTTAAAATAAATGTTCTCCAGAGCTTCTCAGGGTGGAATGGGGAAGGAGACCTGGGGTTCTGCTCACTAACCCAAAACACCCTTCTCAGGCACATATGTAGCGTCCACTCACAAAGCAGTTTGATAACACTGATTTAGACCAACTCTCTCAATCTGCAGACAAAACTTTCCAGACACGTTAACTGGCTTGTCTAAGGCTGCACAGTAAGTCAAATGTAGGATCCTGCTACAATCTTGGTCCTATAACTCAGAAATCCAGTGCTCCTTCCAGTGTATGCAATTGGCACAGAGGCCATACAAGGGATACAGCAGCTCATGTTGCTCAGCATCCTTTTCTTTGCTTAGACAACATGGTTGTGAACGCAAAAGCAAAATACATCACTTTTACTTGCAGTACAAAAGGAGATTTCTATAGAATCCGTGGTCCTTAACTATTAGAATAGTTGTAAATGGCTAGGCACCATGGCCCATAATCCTAGCTTGAGCTCAGGAGTTCAAGACTAGCCTGAGCAAGAGTGAGACCCCACCTCTACTAAAAATAGAAAAAGTAGCCAAGTGTGGCATGTGTCTGTAGTCCCAGCTACTTGGGAGGCTGAGGAGGGAGGACTGCTTGAGCCCAGGAGGTTGAAGTTACAGTGAGCTATGAGGAGGCCACTGCATTCCAGCCTGGGTGATAGAGAAGACATTATCTCAAAAAAAAAAAAAAAAGAATTTTTGTAAATAAACCATATTAAGAGCGCAACATTCCAACACTGACAATATATCTAAGCGTTCTACTATTTCAGTGTTTATTTAGAGCTAACCCCTTCCAGAAGGAAGAGGAAAAACGGTTAGGTTAGTTTTTCATAAGGAAATCCTATCTGTGGAATCAACACATAAGAATCACTTCCCATCCCAGAGGATCCACTTGTGGCCTGAACTCTTCCCGTTCCTCCCGGTCTAAAATCCCCTGTTACCTTTCCATGGGGCACCTTGCTCTCCAGTCACTGAGGGTGGTGTCATACTCCACAGATATAATCCGGAGAGCAGGACAGTCTCTTGCTAACCATGTCTAAGTAAAATAAAAGCTACATAAGAACATGTATGAATTTCCACCACCCCAATTACTGCCTAGTGAAATTTATAACTTGAAATTTGTAACTAAAGGCCTCTTTCAATATTGCCAACTAGTTAAAGACAGTACTGGAATAAAGTTTGAAGGTGATTATAAAAACAATTCCACCATTTTATCTGTTTCATCTCTGGTCACAAAGAGGTATCAATGATTAGAGCATAAGGCCAATGAAGGTTTTAAGAGATTTTTCTCAATTTTAATCTGCTACAGCTAAAAGCAAGACCTGTTTTTTGGATTCTATATCAAATTGGCTTTTTGAAAGCATTTAGCAGAAAGCTATTATCTTAGGACAGACCGTATAGTCTGATAGACTTGGGACCTGAGGTGCTAATTCAGAGCAACCAATAATAATAGTCACAGTCCTGTCTTTGTGGATTCTGGGTCTACTGTCATCTCTGTACTTCAGTGTCACCAGAGAAAACGTGCAAACCCCTCTTTCCACTTGATAAGCCTTTGTGTGAATGAGTAAGAAGTAGCGGAACAAAATCCTGGAAACTATTCACACATATATGCAGTACTGCTTTTAAATGAGCTTTAAGAAAATTCTATTCAATGAATTCATTCCAGAGTTAAGGCTCTTTGGAAGAAGTAATGTCAATGAAATTCAAAGTAGAATTACTTCTTCAAAATCTATTTTTATAATAATTAAGACCATGGAATTACAAATATAATTGTGGTTATACTGTATTTTTGTATTATATTTCAAAGGAAGTGAACTATTACTGGCTCTTGTCCCTGTTTTTTACTTGATGGATTAAAAAATAGTCCATGATTCTATTCTTTTAAAGCACAGACCGCACCCTAAACAAAAATTAACACAGGATGACAAGCCTAGCTGTTATCCTAACATACTACAAGTGTCCCTAAGCAAAAGAACTGCATGGAAAAAAAATCCCAGTAAAAAGAGAAAAATAAGCAAGTCACAATGAGGTCCCCAAAAGCCAATGACACATTGGTGTGTCGTGAGATAAAGGTGGCCTGCCAGAGTCAGCTGCTTCCTTACCTTTGGCCAACACGTTGTATACCTGTCTTCATCCCCTACAGCCTTTTCAAGCACAACCCGCTCACTGTCCTGCTGGCGCCATGTCTTGAATGCTGCTCCCATAAGGCCATGGATAAAAAGGACATCTGCTTTAATGGGCTGACTAACAGGGAAGAGAGTTTTAAAAACAAGCAGAATAAGTGCATTTAGTAAGAATCTACACAGCATTCTCTGTGGATGGTGCTTTAACATTTTATGTGACATAAAATAAAACTTAATTAAAGCAAGCTTTATAAGCACAGGTTTGCTGAGGAACCTAAAGAGTTTTGGCAAAGACATACACAGAGCATGCTCAATGCTCTCTCTCTAAAAATGGAAACATGTCTAGCCAGGCAGACCAACCACAATCAATCATAATGAGCTTAGTGATCAATCAAGTGACAGATGTCACAGTTAGATTACCCTCTGAAGAATTCCATGAGAATATCCTACAAATCAATAAAAGTATTTGAGAAATTAAATAAGAATATGCTAATATTGTTTCCAAGTCAGTATTATGAGATTTTCAAAAATGAAAGATTTTCAAAAATGTATTAAGGAAAATATATTTATCAGAAAGACAGAAAATGAAATTTTAAAGTAACATATTCTTTCTTTAGATAGAACATTAAAAATTATAACTAGGATCTTAGTTACAAGCTACGTATTGTACACAATTATGCAACGCACATATAAAATATATTACGATAATATTTTATTTATAAATGAATTAACCAAGTAATCCATTTTTCAAATTTAAAAGTTTTTTTGCTATTTTCTGAGGTATTTTTTGGAAAGTACCCTATGAAAATCTAAGAAATGTGTAAGGTTTTCATTGTGATCCTTTCTATATTGTCTCTGCAATGATACAACCAGATATAGTGACCACAAATAACCTTAAGAAGGAGCATGAGTCAAATGTATGACCACCTGGTCTTTCCCACACGTGCTTTTAGACACCAGCATCAATGCTCTGCAGTCCCTTGGGTTCTAGGCCCAGGCTGATTTGATTGCCTGCAGACAACAATGTCATATCTCCTTCCTATTCAGAGTGATTTCTGGAATCCAAATCAGTTATTAACTCAGATCTAAGTGAAAATGCCTTCACACAACGAAAATGCGTATTACAAAGTTTAAGTGCAACACTTCATAACAGGTGACTCAGCCTTACTGTAAGGGCTTACGATCGTAAGCTCTTTGTGAAATAACCTAGTTCACATACTTTTCACAACCATCTTCAATTCTTCTGAGGTTATTGCAGACAAATTATTTCAATCAACAAGGTATTTGACTTATAAAGTATTTAACTTATCTAAAGTATACAGAAATAAAATAAAAATTTAAGCCCCCTAGGCTTTATGTTTTCTTACCTTGTTCGATGCTGGGGGTGTAGCACATATACCCCATCCTGATATTTTTCTTGTACAGTTTCTCGGTCTAGATTAGCCAAGATTCTGGCAGCATGTGAAGCCTTCATAATGTGGTGAGATTTCATTGCTTCTGCCATGAGGGAAACCCAGCCTGTGAAAAGAACATATATCCTCAATACTGACATGAATCTGTCTCAGACTATTGGGAGTGGATTCAAACTGAATGTGATGGAGACAGGCAAACCTCAAGTATCTGTCCTTGGTGGAAAAGCTCAACCACTGCACTCCCATCCTACCCTCTTAAGATCCTCAGAGTCCCACGACACAAGGGGACACAATACCATGACGTTCCCAACCACATACCCTTTAAAGGATCTCAAAGAAGGAAAGGGGTTCAAGAGCCATTTTCTTTATAAAGAAAAACTAAAACAAATTACAGTTACTAGAAATGAGGTCACAAATGTGAACAAAATAGTGTGTTTTGCTTTTTTCGAGAATTATAAAACTTAGTGGGTTAATACTATTTATTTCATCCTGATCAGCAATCATATCAACAGCCTTTAATGTAACTGAGGAAATTATTTCTTAACAATGGATTTGTTTGATACACAAGTGTCTTATAAAACTTCGAGTTCAGAAAGGAAAAGCTATTTTTTAAAGAAAGGCAAACAGAAAAGGCATGGATAATACTATAGATTGTATTATTTCATTTTTTGTTTCTGTTTTTAAAACTTTATGTACATAAATATGTATGAAAGTGCATGTGTGCACACATACACACACAAAGATCTGGAAAGATATACCAAACTAATGAAGTCATTACCAAGAGGTATGACTTCAAGAGGAGGGAGGTGGGCTGGAAGAGATCTCTATAAAAAAGGTAGGTTTAGCTTTTTTGCTATATCTGTTTTCTGAGGTACTTACAATTGAGAATCTATTAATATATTATTTATATAACATAAAGAACATGGGCTGTGAGAACAGAGAGACTTGGGCTGAAATGTCTGTTCCTCTGCTTACTTGCTATGGAACCTCAGTCAAATTATTTAGCAACTCTGAGCTAGAGGAGATTTTGATAAATGTATGTGAAAACACTGGGCCTTTTCGTCAACAACTAACCACATATACTAAGGTGGTCCCATAGATTATAATACCATGTTTTTACTGTACATTTTCTATGTTTAGATATGTTCAGATATTCAAATACTTACCACTGTATTACGATTGCCTATAGTGTACAGTAACATGCTGTACAGGTTTGCAGCCTAGGAGAAATAGGCTATACCTCATAGCTTAAGTGGATATTAGTAGGCTGTACTGTTCAGGTTTCTGTAAGTACATGCTATGAGATTTGCACAGAGATGAAAGTGCCTAATGATGCATGTCTCAGAATGTATCCCCACTGTTAATCAATGCATGTCTGTACATGTTAATTGTAAAAAACAAAGTAACTAAAAGCAGCATTTAATGATGAAAATCTTGCTTTAGCATTCCCATCATTTCGCAACTCCATTTATATCCTCAGAATAAACAAAATTATAATAGAATTTTGATGGACACACTTCTAAACCTTTTGAAAAACATAGTTTATACATATACATTATAGCTCTGCATGCATAATTTTTACCTAAATAGAATCATACCATCCCTACTGTTCTGTGCCCTGATTTCATACCTCAGCGGTATGTCTTGGAGCACTCTCTATATACATCTACTTCGCTCTGTCTATAATAACCACAGCATTACATAGTATGAGTATGCCATCATTTATGTAACCATTATTCATACTGGCAGACATTTGTTTCCAATTTTTCCATACTATAAACAATACTCCAACGTTCTTAAACACAGACTTTTAAGAACACCCATGAGTATTTAGTTGGAAGAAGTTCCTAGAAGAATTACTACTAGGTTAAATGCTAAGTCCCAACAAAAAAACTGCATCAATTTACATTCTCACCAACAGTATATGAGAGGGCCAATTTTCATACACCTTCACCAATGGTAGATATTATTAAGCTTTTTAATTTTTGTCAATCTGAAGGCAAAGACTTGCAGATCTGATACTGTTAAGATTGATATAAAATATATAAAAACAGGTAAAGATAACAGATGCCTAAGGAGAAAAAAACAGGGTAAGGTTGCAGAATTCAAAATGGAATACTGAGAAGTAATGGGAGCTGAGCAAAAGAAAGTACAGATAACTCTTTCAAAAGCTGAGCTATAAAAGGAAGGAAAGAGGGTGGATGTTGGGGGAAGTGTGGAGTTAAGATTTTTGGTTTATGGTTTTCTCATCTTCTTCTAATGTGTGTTGATCAGAAGGTCTGGCTGAGAGGGCACAGCTGACCATAAAGACCAGGAAACAGTGGCAGTTCCTGAGATGGTGAAGAGAGACAGGACTGAAGCATGGCTGGAGGCCTTATAAAAGAGGCGTCTCTTTTCCTTTTATCAAAATGAGAAAAGGAAAGAACAGAATGTGTTTGTTTGGTAGTGTGAAATTGAGGAAAAATTCCTTTTAGGGCTTCAATTGTCTCAGTAACGTGGGAAGAGAAGTCATCTGCTGAGAAGGAATATGTGGAAGGTCTGAGTAATAAGAGGAGGTTTAAAACAGTCATTGCTAAGAATGTTAAGGAATATTGACTGAAGAAACATGACTGCTGAGTCCTTTAATTTGTTGATCTCTAAGCACAGTGACTATCTTAAATACAGATTATCTACAATCTCAAGCAATTCCTTGCCCCTACCAAAATAATATGTTCTAAGAACCCACAACTAACCCTAAGCAGAGTCTTAAGTCCTTTGAAAAATTTATGTATCATGAGGCTAGAGGTGGGAGAACAAAGGACTGAATAAAAATACTAAAGATATAAAGGTGTTACCTGAGCGAACTATAGGAGAATGAAGATGTTCATTCAAAGCCATATTTCCAATGACACGCATTATATTTCTCTGTACTTTAGGGTAGTCCTTGTGAAGCTGGTACAGCCTCTGAAGTAGTTGCAAGCCTCCATTTGCTTCAATTTTATCACAATGTGTAGATATCTAGCACAATAAATGAATGAAAGCTCACTTTATGTTGCACAAATTCACTACACTAGATGACACAGCATGCTGATGGGGACAGCCAGGTAGCTTCTGCTCAAGGACAGAGATGCGGGGAGACTACTGAAAATTCTCATCTCGGCTTACTTAAATAAATAAGCCAATCCCTATCTAAGAGGGATATGCTTTAAAATTATTTTTAAAAATCCCAAGAAGGCATTTCTCACCAGGACTTCTAAAACTATTACTCCTACTCTCTTAGCTCTTGGCTGGATATAACCTGACAATGTCATTATCACAAAACTGTTTCAATTTACAGTGATACTTTGGCTTGAAATTACCATAAAATGGTTTTCTAACCTTGAGGAATCTGCCACCTGATAACAGAAAACAGTCCTCTGTGCAAGCAGGCAGATTCCGCTTCAGCAAACAGGGACTTGCACAGGTAGAGACAGGCAGCCGCCATGGCCACATGTGCTACCCCATACAATGCCCACAGCTACAGGGCTGGCCTCAACTCAGAAGCTGGAAAAAAAACTTAAAACGGAAAGGCCGGGCGCTGTGGCTCACGCCTGTAATCCTAGCTCTTGGGAGGCCGAGGCGGGCGGATTGCTTAAGGTCAGGAGTTCAAAGCCAGCCTGAGCAAGAGCGAGACCCCGTCTCTACTATAAATAGAAAGGAATTAATTGGCCAACTGATATATATATAAAAAATTAGCCGGGCATGGTGGCGCATGCCTGTAGTCCCAGCTACCCAGGAGGCTGAGGCAGAAGGATCACTCGAGCCCAGGAGTTTGAGGTTGCTGTGAGCTAGGCTGACGCCATGGCACTCACTCTAGCCTGGGCAACAAAGTGAGACTCTGTCTCAAAAAAAAAAAAAACTTAAAACGGAAAGATTAAGCAAAAATAAAGAAAAAGGGATTTAATTTTTAATGGAGAAAAGAAACAAAAGAAAAAGAAAACCAAAGGAAACATGTATATTAAGGTAAGAAAACTGACCAACCAGACTTCTTAACATCACCAGGCACGGCCTTGCCTCTTCCTATCACTAGTTTCGTTCACTGACACAAGTCAGGTATGTATGACAATTTTCATTTTCTAAATTTTTATTAAGTTTTATCACAGTTTAAGTGCAGTTAAATATATGCCTTTTAGACATATATGTATCAAGAGAGATCTGTAACAACTTGAGAGATTTCTGAAGAAGTAACTATTACACTCCATGCACTGCACTTTCTACTGAAGCTACATATATTGCTTCAGAAAATACTCAGAAGATGGTTTTCCTGCTTCCCTTTTGTACTACAACACCTTTTCCACTCTGCTTCGTGTTTGCTGCCTAATTCCACAGGTGGGAGCTAAAGATTATTAGAAGGTACCATGGTTTTCAGGAGAGCTCAGAATCTCTAGGATGGTGTTTCTCCTGCTGTGGGATGGACCACTTACATTAACCTTACCAGGGATGCTGGCTACAAATGCAAATTCTTGGACTCTACAGCAAATCTACTAAATTAAAGTTGCTAAAAGCACACAGAAAACACATTTTTAAACATGCTCCCTGAGTGATGTTTCTGCACTGTTTGAATACCACAAGGTTTGTTGCTTTTTTCAAGTTAAACTATTATCAAGATAGAAAAGTTTCCACAACACCAAAATTTTAAAAATCACTCATGTGTGCTATAGTTATAATTCCAGCATGTGGTCATCTAGTATTTCCTTGGTTTTTCTAAATCTTGCCACTTCTTTGGCAGTTGTTTTAATGGAAATTGTTCACCTGAAAATATTACACATAAGAATAATCTGAGAAAGGTAGTAGAAGACAGCATAACTCAAAGGTGAATGCCGTATTTACATGATAGATTGCTTTCTTTATATGCAATTAAGATTAAATCCATTTTTAGAAATACTTGGCAAAAACAAAACTCATACATTGGTGTTAAATCATGATTATTAGTTCTAGCAAAATGGAAAAAAAGCAGAAATTTTAAAACAAATGAAAACTTTTTTCCTTTTATAATTAAATGATGATTCCCTTGCATAAACCAACCAGTATAATTTTTTCAGTATAATCATGAAAAGTAAATCACATTTTGAAAATGTAAATTACCTCAGAATGTTTTACTATAGCTTCTAAACAGAACATTTCCACTGTAGCTGAAGGAACTGTTCCAAAACTGTCAGCATAAGGAAGTCCATTTCCTCCAAAGCACCATAAACCACCCTGAAATTAAAATAATTAAAAATTTTACTGAAAAACTAATATTTTTTGTTTGACAAAAAAAAATCTCTGTACTATATATAATATTAGAAAATACTAATATGTAGGGACTCAAAATACTTTAGAAACTGAAAGGGAACTTTATGGAAACTGTTGCTTATTAGAATATAAAACATTCAGAATTATTCCTAGAAGAGAGGAATCTCTGAGTCTTTCTGAATTCTCTTACTTGAAAGTGTGACAACACACAATTTTTTATCAAGTAAGATGAGCCCAGAGTTGATCAAAATATTCTAGTGTCATTCCTTTCAGCTCCTGGTAGTTAATACAATATATTGTTTTCCAGATTATCTACTTAAAGTCTAATTATCAAAATAATAAAAAATAGAAAAAGCATTATTGGACAAATTAAAAATAAAGACCATGATAACAATGATTACAGAGCTTTTAACTCTTCCCAAGTTGAAATTTAAGTTCACATGGAAGAATAAATAGGAATGGTTATAAAAAAATATGAAACAGAATAGTGAGCACTACCCCTAATAGATATTAAAACATATTATAATATAAAGAAGAAAATAGGCCAGCTGAGCACAGTGGCTCACACCTGTAATCCCAGTGCTTTGGGAGGCCCATACGGAGGATCACTTGAGGCCAGGAGTTCAAGATTAGCCTGGGCAACACAGTGAGACCCCTATCTCTACAAAAAACTTTTTTTTTTTTTTTTTTAGACATAGTCTCACTCTGTTGCCCTGGCTAGAGTGCTGTGGCATCAGCCTCAGTCACAGCAACCTCAAACTCCTGGGCTCAAGCAATCCTACTGCCTTAGCCTCCTTCGTAGCTGGGACTACAGGCACACGCCACCATGCCCAGCTAATTTTTTCTATTTTTAGTTGTTTTGGCTAATTTCTTTCTATTTATAGTAGAGACAGGGTCTCGCTCTTGCTCAGGCTGGTTTCAAATTCCTGAGCTCAAGCAATCTTCCCACCTCAGCCTCCCAGAGTGCTAGGATTACAGGCATGAGCCACCACACCCAGCCTACAAAAAATTTAAAAACTAGCTGGGTATGGTGGACCATGCCTGTAGTGTGCACACGCCCAGCTACTAAGGAGGCTGAGGCATGAGGATCATTTGAGACCAGAAGTTCAAGGTTGCACTGATCTATGATTGTGCCACTGCACTCCACCCTGGGTGACAGAGCAAGACCCTGTATCAAAAAATAACAATAATAGGCTGGGCATGGTGGCTCATGCCTGTAATCCTAGCACTCTGGGAGGCCGAGGCAGGAGGATCTTTGGGCTCAGGAGTTCGAGACTAGCCTGAGCAAGAGCAAGATCCTGTTTCTACTAAAAAAAATAGAAATAAATTAGCTGGACAACTAAATATATATAAAAAATTATCTGGGCATGGTAGTGCATGTCTACAATCCCAGCTACTTAGGAGGTTGAGGCAGGAGGATCACCTGAACCCAGGAGTTTGAGGTTGCTGTGAGCTAGGCTGACTCCATAGTACTCTAGCCCAGGCAACAGAGTGAGACCCTATCTCAAAATAATAATAAAATTTTTAAAATTTAATTTAAAAAAATTAAAAAATAAAAAATAAGATAGGAAAAAAGTCAACTCTTACCACACATCAAGGGTTAATGTCACTAATATGCAATAACCTCCTACAAATCAGTGAGAAAAATACCAACAATGCTATAGAAATATAAATAACAGTCATAAACAAGAAGTTCATAGGATATGAAACATAATGCCTCTAAAACATATGAAACAATGTTCAACTTTGCTCATAATGAAAGGCATGCATGTCGAAACTACACTGAGAAACTCATAATGAAAGGCATGCATGTCAAAACTACAGTGAGACACTACAGTTTACACCTATCAGACAAGTAGGTTCTGGGGAAACAGGCATTCCTATCACCCTGCTGCTGGTAATAGCAATGTATCAAAGGCACAAGTTCTACAGAGGGCAACTTGGCAACCGCTATCAAAATTACAGGTGCCTATGCCCTTTAATAATTTATCCTACAGAGAGATACACATAATTAAAGTAACAGACATACAAGTTTGTTCACTGCAGCATTGTTTGTAATAACAAAAGACTGAAAACCACCTAATATTCACCAATAGGTGTTCAGTTAAATAAATTATGGTACAGTTGTACAATGGAATGCTAGGCAGGTTTAAAAATGCTGGAGACTCTTCATAAATTGACTCATACTGATCCCCAAGATAAATCCTTAAGAACATGCAGAATAGTGTGTGTGTCATGAGCCACCATTTGCGTAAAAGAGTGTGTCTGTGTGTGCATGTATGTCAGGACAAGGGAAATGGAAGGGATGGAAAGAAAGCATATTACTGCGGGTGCTTTTGACATGCTTCACCTTTAAGCTAGGGGTCTCGTACCTGTGTGCATACAGACCACCTGGTGGCAAAAAAAGACAACTACAAGATAATGTCTTTCTAAAATGTGTATATAAAGCCCAGTATTCTCTACAGGAAATATAATCCATAAGGTTCTGTATTTTGAGTTAATTATAAGGTCCGTGGTTTAGTAAACCAACTAAATACTAAAAATAATTTTCGGTCACTTTACAAATGTTATTCATGCCTTCTTCTCTAATCTTCTGTTTTGACAAGTTTAAACACAGTTGGATCTCAAAGATTCACACTATTTAAACTGACAACTGAGAAGGGACTAACTCATGAAAAGTCATTCCCTTCTCTGGCAGAGACAATGGTAAGTAGTAGATTGGTGGACTTTGGGGAATAGGAGATTGTTCTTAAAGATTTATCCCCACAATCTGGCTTCCCCAAACCCTCTTCTCACCATGCACCCTTGAATCATCTGGCCTCTTTCTACCCTAAATGTCTCAAAGAAAAAAAGGGGAAAAGGTGAAGAAAAATGATAGTTTTTCTTAATCATTTCAACAGTGTGATTATAAGAGTGCAGTTCCAATTCCATTCTTGTTGGCAAACTTCTTACTTACCAACTGCTATTAACGTTGTGTTACAATAAGAAGTACAAGCCAAAAGGAATGAATACAAAGATATAAATTCATGATTGTATGGATATTTTAACCCCTAACATAAAAATAAATGTACATATTTACAGTTGCTTTATCCCTGGATCAAGATATAACAAGATTAAATAAATCCATAAAGATTTAAGAAATGCTACACATCAAATTCCATAAAATGCAACAAAAAATGATTTCTTAAGGATTAAAGAAATGAATAGGAAAAGTTGGAGAGACTAAAATGTTCAAAACAATAATAAAAAGATATGAAAATTAAAAGGCAACAATAATATATAAGAGCTAATCTCTGGTGTTTCCTCATAAAAAGTTATAACCTTCAAGCTCTACAATTTGTGCAAATTAACCAGGCTTAAAAAATAATGTTCATTCTAAAGCAGGAATTTTTAAACCAGGGGTCCCTAAGGGTCTCCAAAACTTGAATGGAAAAAAAATTACATCTCTGTTTTTCTAATCTCTGAAATTTTGCATAGTATTCAATTATGAACACAGACAATAAACCACAGACATATTAGCAGTATCTCTGATTCTGTCAGCAATGGAAAGCACAGATATTTTCACATCACGTCTCATTTGTTGTAGCCTTATGAAAATATGGTTATACTCATTATTGCTTTAAATGCCAACTATGAAAGAGTGAAGTTGCACTCGCTTCTGGGTGTGATCCACTGGGAAGGACATGAAATCACTTATATTATAGTCCTGTAATAAATGCATGCCCCAAACCCAACAAGGAAGCATGAAGCAACTAAACAGGGGCATTCTACAAATCACTGCTTTGTACTCTTTAAAAACATCAATGACATGAAGATAGAGATAGGCTGAAGAATTTTTCCAGCTAAAAGGAGACTAAATAGACAAGACTGTCACATGTAATACTTAATCCTAAACAAGATCCTAGATTAGATTTTTTTTTTTAGATTAGATTTTTTTAAACTGCCATAAAAGAATTACCAGCAAAATTCAAATATGGTGTATATACTAGATAACAGTATTACATCAATGTTAAATTTTTTTGAATTTGATAACTGTACTGAGGTTCTTTCAGAGACTGTCCTCAGGACACCATGTCTGCACCTAACTTTCAAATGGTTCAGGGAGAAAAATATTAAGTGTGTAAATAGGTACATTAAAATGTATCTACAAAGAGAGGGAGAGTAAACGGGGAGAATGATAAAACAAATGGGATAAAATGTTAATAACTATTGAATCTCAGTGAAACGTATTGTTTTTGTAATTCTTTAAATCTGAAATTATGTCAAAATAAGAACTTTAAATGACATTGGTACTTTAAGACACCAACTTCATCATTTGCCAGCAAATAAACTCCTCTTTCTTTCTCCTCAAACCACTTGTTCTCATTCTGATGTGGCCTCAGGAATAAGTGCCAAACCTTCGGTAACAGATTTTGGTAGCCCTGGGTGGGCTCGTGGGCTCTCCAGAGTATCAGCACCCTGCGACTGCTGGAGGAAGCAGGGAGCAGCCCCGGGACAAGCTGTGGGTCTTCATTGGAAGCAGCAGCTTCTTTTTGAGGTGAGAGAGTACAGGATGGTCCCAGCAGCTGCCCCAGCATGTTTTAGCTCCGGGGAACTCCCATCTCTTTCCCCACTGAATTAGACCAGCTCCCCACAACCTGAACTGAGTTGAGGAAAAGGAAACAGATTTAGGAAGCATCACAATAGCCATGGCCATTTGTAAGTAAAGTTCCCCAGGATGCCAAGACCCTGTTTCCACCCATATTCGGGGGAAGGGAGTCTCAGATCTGCCTATTAGATTTAAGGCACGATTTTGTACTGGAAGACAAGAGGTTGAGTGGAACTAGGGAACTTGGTTCGGATTTGGAGCTCATTTGCAGTTCCCAGGGAAGCTGGGGGTGGGGGTGGGGAGGATTGGAATATGTTGTCTCTCATTTGAGAATTTGGTTCTCGCTTGGTTCCCATTTGGTCGGCTGTAGCATTAA